GGGGGGCCTGCCTGGAGAAAAAGATCCCCTTCTGCAGCATGGAGTGCTCGGCAAAAACCCGCCATGTTATTGATTCGGTGGCGTAGGCAGTAGAAATGATAAGGGCTAATCCGTGAAACAAGATCTGTAGCTTACTTGCAGGCTAACAGTGACATATCTAAGCTACACCTTGATCAACAAACCTGCGGGCCAAACAGTCACCACGTTTGCGTCTAGTCGTCAACGCAGCCTAGTGGCAAGGATTCTGACTCTGTTGGCGGTGTGCTGCATTGACGGGCTTCTGCAGCTACTGCAGTCTGCACGAGTCGCATTTTGTGAGACGCTGAGGAAAAGGGGGGGCGGGACACCGGTGCGGAGCCAGCACGTTTTTTGCTCGCGTGGAGGACTGTTGAGTCCGGTTGAATCACGGTCCAATACGTAGTGATAATCTTGCAAATCATCTTTACAGCGGGCTCTTGGGCCAGATGCTCCGAAGTCTACTGGGCTGACGAAAGATTCGTCGTTAGCGTCGGGCAGTGACCAGACGGACGGGCCAAGGAGAGGCGAGAAGCGACCCTTTAGCCTCCTGGGCGACGGATTATTTGCAAAATGGACCAGCGGGTTACCAGGTAGATGGCTTTGGAGAGCACTTGGCAGGGCGCCAGTCCCTCCCGAAGCGTCCTGGCCCCGACTCTATAGCCACAGGTGGAATTACAGATGCGGCACCGCACTCGCTAAGAGCTTAGTGGCTTACTCTGGCGAAGGATCTGCAATGAGCACACCCAGGATATCGGGGCCTTGACCCTGCGGCTCCATAGGGGCCAACATCGAAAATCATCGACATGGATGGTGGTGTTTCCTGAAGATCCACCACTCATCTCTCTAGAAGCAGGAACCACGCGAGGGACCCGAGACACATCTGTAGCTGCATCTGTAGGCGAGTATGCACCCCAAGGTACGCTTGCTTGGCTCCCCAGGTAGCAAAAAATGCCGCGTCAATAGCTTTGCAAGACAGCAGAGGGCAATCCTGGCCTTTATGCATCAAAAGGCGTTTTCAATGCATCTCCATAGCCTCCCTAGAGAGCAAACAGTGCTATGTAAGCATCTGCTGGGAGATGAGGGACACAAAAAGACCTATCCTGCCCAGACTGTCTCTCCACATAAAAGCACCAGGGTGTTTATCGCCAGCCGCCCTCTGGCGGTGACGGACAAACGGGACAGTCTACGATCTGGAGGAGGCTCTCTTTCTTGGCCTTGATGTTGTAAACGAAATTGACACCAGACGATCACACTTTAACTGCCACGAGCTACGATGTATGCGAGTGAATGAATGCCTCGGGCCGGGCCCGTTTTCTGCGTTGACCAAAGATGACCGGCTTGAGAGCCTACTGTAGGACTGACTGGAGAATTATGTGTTTAGTTTCGCCGATCCACGTGTTTTTCCCCTCTTCCCAGGTCCAGGTCTATTCGCACCTGCATGAGCAGGGATGTGCCACTGAGGGAGGCGTAGACCAAATAGTGCCACAAACCAGCGACCTCACGGTGTGTGAGACTCCGGTCAGGCCATTCCTGACTCGAGCACAATCGCGCAGCCTGCTCCGGACTGGCTTCGAGGCCCTCGGTCAGCACCGTTGGGACTGGAGGTGGCAGCCAGGTGAATGGCGACCGAATCCTTCGACGAACCATAACCCGAAGCATTGCCATCACCTTGCCTTTGATATTGGCGCTAATCACCAGTTAGTCGTCCCTTCTTTTCTCGACCATCTATCTACATCCCTGATTACCGATCTGACAGTGAAGCCAGAGCTCTTGATGTGGGCATTACCCGCATCTCGTGGCTGAGTGGCGTCTGGACGTCCTGCATAATCTTGAAGACTAGCATCTTAGCACTGCGGAAGAAGCATTTTTACTTTGCGTTATTGATCTCAGCATAGATAGGAACAAGCCACGAACTTGGAAAGGGGCCTCGAGACGTGAAGGGGCAAATCTCTGGCAGCCGATTGGCGCGGACCTGACCCGACTGGGACGCTATTCTGGCTGCGTATAAGTTATTTCTTGGTTTTCGTTAATGACAAGCCTGGCGCCCGCTCTGATCCCATTTTTATGACAAGTGTCGTGATACTAGTTCTTGTTCTCCTCCTAGGGTCAACGCGAGTCACGGCCACTCCCCGTTCAAGGGGATACTCACACCACGTATTGGGAAAGTCCTGTTCCACGGCTTCATCCGCGGTTTGGCGAACCCAGTCGTTTGGACCCCGCATTAGAGACCCAACTCACTTGTGATGCCGGTACTTTCATGGGCGTGTTTCATTGCGAGTAGTCAGTATTTGCCACTTGATCCCCATCTCCCACGCTATTATCAGACTCTTTCTACCGGTTTGGTGTCTTGACTTCTTTCGTCCGCAAATCGACAGAAGGGATTTACGTCCAAAAGAGAAAAATACACTTGTAGATCCAAATAATGCTTTCGTTTAGGAAAAACACCTTTATCAGCCAGTGCTCAAGATCACCGTGGGTCAATATGACGCGGAACCTTCGATAGTTTTGTAGATCAGACACTTGGTTCGATACTGCTGCTCGTATTTTAATTGGCGCCTTGAAGGCCAAAAGGCACGTGTTTTGGTGTACTCTCGGGCTCTCTCTGATTTCAGGGGTTGGCTGATCTTCTCAGCAAGATGTGGACGATGGACTTGGCTCATCTCCTCTGGACCGAGCAGATGGGATGAGTACAGAATCTCGAACTTAGTTTACGTCACAGCTTATGAATTTAGGTAGGCTGTGTATAATCTTGTATTTGGAAGTCGTTCCTTGAAGTTTGCTTGCTGGCAATTCGTCCTTTGTAGCAAACACACTGGGATAACACAGTAGCAGCCACTCTTTCCTGGGGGTGAGGCAAGTCCTGATTAAGATCTCAAATCATGATCTTGAATAACAACATACAGAGAGAAATTCAGCTTCCTTCAAGCAGAGCAATGGGAAGGGTCTCTGATCTTGCCTGTTGTCCTGATATGCATCACCGTGATACCACCATCTGCAGGCTCGACTGTTGCCTACCCTATACCGTATCCAACAATGTGATCGTTCATTACTGCTACAGCTTCATTCATCCATTTTATGCTCCTTGCCTCTTCAGTGTTACCTATTACTCTAGATTCAGCTTGAGTATCAAACAAGGGGATCTTATTCCTGTTGTCATGGCTAACTCTTAGCTTAAGATTGCGTTGAATTTGATTTTCCTTGAACCGATCACCAATGTTAAAGATTGCTGACATCTAAACTAGGATGAATCACTCTGACTTGTTAAGGGATTAACATATCTGGTATATGAATCATAATTTGACTCAACTATGTTGATGAATGACCAAAATGGCCATCAGATCTGTGGACTGTTGCCTCAACTAACAATGATTGGGCACAGCCTCAGCCGCACTTGATGACTCAATTGCATTCGCGGGTTGAGATTGCTGACATCTCCTCCTAGCCACTCACTCATAGCCACATCAAGCTCAGAAGGCACGGGAGAACAGGAAGATATATGAAGAAAACCATCTTCTCTCTGCCTCGTCGTCATCTCAGCCGCAACCACCGAACAACCACCATGTCTGACAAACAAACTCTCACCCCGCAGCAGTCGCGCACCATCGGGGCTCTGCTGGGCCTCCACGCGGGCGACGCTCTGGGCGCGACTCTCGAGTTCCAGCCGCATGCCAAAATCGCCGAGAGGTATCCCCACGGGCTGCGCGACATCATCGGAGGCGGCCCCTTCTCGTGGCCCGCCGGACATGCCACCGACGACACGGACATGACTCGTGCCGTCCTGCTCGCCTACCGTGATGCCGCCCTCAAACGAGCCTCTCCCGGCAAGCCTACCCCCGTGTCCGTCTTAGACCTCGCCCGCCGCTCTGCCGAGTACTTTGTCGACTGGTACGAGGGTAACTGGCCCGGCCGCACGCACGGCGACCTGCCCAAGGACATCGGCGGTGCCACCGAGAGAGGCATCACCAACTTCCGCAGCAACCCCGACGCCCCCTCAGGCGCCGGCCAGGGATCTGCCGGCAACGGGTCTCTGATGCGATGTATTCCCACTGCCCTCTTCCAGCCGGATCTGAGCCGCCTGGTGGCCGAGAGCCGGGCCATCAGCGCCGTCACCCACGACGACACCAACTGCGTCATCGCCTGCGCGGCCTACAATGCCTGTGCCGCAGCCCTTGTTGCCGGTGCCTCGCCTTCGTATGCCGTACGAGCGGCCGAGGCTGCTGCGATCCAGCTCGAGGGACGTGGCAAGCATGGCAAGCCTGAGCCCGTCACTGCTGCCATCCGCGTCGGCAAGCGGTTTGATATCGCGAGGGCTGCTGCCCAAGGACCGCCGCTGGACCTCCTTCCGGGAAGCGCCTCGGGCTACGTGCTGGAGACCTTGATCATTGCCATCGCCGCGGTTCTGGATCAGCGTAGTCTGGAGGACATCCTGGTGGATGTCGTCCGCATTGGCAAGGATACGGATACGAACGGTGCTGTGGCCGGCGGGTTACTGGGAGCGAGGGATGGCGAGAACGCTATTCCACGGAGATGGAAGCACCAGCTTCAGTTTGGGCTCGAGTTCCGGGACACTGCACTGGAGATCTTGGAGGTTCTTAAGAATAGGACATGAGTTGGCTATAATGCTGGGTGTTCTGTTGATTATTCCTATCATATCCTAATGATCAGAACAAAGTTTTCATACATCTTATAGAGAGTACTTCGTCTCCAACATGATAGTGTTAGATCGGAGTGTCTAAACTGGGAGAAGAGGCACTTGACCGATTGCCCATTCTGCGACGTGATAAAAATAGAACACCATCTAAAGTGGCGCGAATGAGAAGCTGTGCGTGAGGCACGTTTTTTGGCAGGGCCCGTCTCTGGAAGGCTGTGTATCGTGAGGCATCCATAAAATCCGCGATTTATCGTGCAGCCTCCGACGTGAATATGATACCGTGATTTGTTTCCTTCAACTCTCTTGGCTTACAACACTCGCTCAGCTCAAGATGCCGCGCGCAGCTTACAAGTCGAAACCATCGCTTGCAATCAAATTGGAAGGGAACCGGTTGGCGTACAACCCAGGAGATGTAATCATCGGATGTGTGTACAGAACCTCGTCACTGTCCTGCGCAGATCCTTACGTATGCATCTCCTTCCACGGACGAACAAAAGTCAAGCACTGGGTTGACTGCGGAGGGGATGGCGCCATACCCTTGCGGAGCAGTCTGATATTGCTTGATAGCCAGCGGCATAGGCAAAAGCTTTCACATGTTATCCAAAGCACCAAGGATGGGAGCCCAGTATATGAATGGAGTTTTGCGCTCACAGTCCCCACGACCGTCGATGAAGGAGCACAGGGGAGGAAAGCCTCATTCACACCGTTCACTCAGGACGTGGCGGATAACAAAACTCTGCCTGCTAGCTTCACTGGGGTTACACAGACTGGTGGAAATGAAGCATATGTTGAGTACTTTCTCCAAGCAGGCTTGCCGGTTCAAGGCAAGGCGATAGCGGCACACGAGGCCATCCTCCCGATCAAGATCCTACCAAGCCTGGAGCAGCCGATACTTGTAGATCATCTGCTTCAAGAGCAGCATCATCAGCTCCAAGTCAACTCGGAACGGCTCATACCAGGGATGGAGAATTACCGACCTTCATTCTCCCAAACACTGAAAAGAACCTTCGCCCCAAAGGTAAATTGCAGGCTTTCCTTTCGAATTGATATCCAGGTTCCCAGCGTCATCCAGCTGCAATCAGAGGTCCCGATCCCCTTACTGGTATCAGCCGCGCCGCTATGGGACAAGACGGATGAAATTATTCGCAACGTCCCACAGATGATCCTCATAGTTGGATTGAATCTTATGCTGCACTCCGTAACCCAGGTCAGGTGCGAGCGTGACCAACTCGGCGAATGGGTTAATAGTATTCCCTTGGCTCATCGCCTTCCACGCAACCCTCCGCTAGCAATCCAATGCACTGGGAAGGGGGAGCAGCCAGTCGATATTGGCACGGATGTGAACTTGCGGATCCCTGAGAAGAAACCCTACGAGGTGACCGTATTTGAGATCGAGCCTGATTATCTCGCGTGGAATTTTCGCCATTTACACAGGATTGAGTATGAATTGAGATTTTTGGTTGGGGGCAAATCAGTCACAGCCACTGGCGAGCAGACCCTTCAGATCCTGCCACCAAACAACATTGAGAGATTGTAAAGACGATCAGATTTTACCCTTTGCGACTTTTAGAGACGCTCCATATGCCCAATTCATGCGATGTTTGTTATCAGATTGTCAGATACCGCTGGTGACTTACGACAGATGACTTGACCGCAGCGTTGCTTACATGCAATCGAATTACTCAGAAAACAGGCTAACGTGAGATCGATACACCTTCAGAGAAACCTAATTCTCGCATCTCGCGCATCATATACCCGATATGTCTTTCACATCTCGCGGTCTCTCCTGGATATAAAGGTCTTAACTCCGGAATTCAAATGCGTCACATTACGGAAGGCGTACCGCCATTTCACAGTACCCAGTTGTAAATGCTACATTTTGCAAGTACACTATTCCTGAAAACACCTTTTGGGTGCTCTATCATGCAAAGTAACGGATTTAACAAGAATCGGCCCTTGATCACCAACTCTCGCGCTGAGGATGATGCCGACAACCGATTTACTACTTGGGATCAAACCCTTGGTTGTTCAGGGGGGAGGAAATATAAATTCTAGGAGGGAATGCTATCTTATGTCACGCTGTCTTTAGAACTTCAGTCCGGTATGTACATATAGTCACGTCTTACTGTCTGGCTTCTCTACCAACAAACTACGACTATTTACCGCAAAGAAGTCGCTAAAAACATGTCTTCTTCTCTGCCTGCCCTGCCCAAACTGACCACTAGCAAGTGGTCGAGCTCAGACGACTCCAACAAGTTCGATGTGGTGAACCCGGCAACGGGCCAAGTCCTCACCACAGTCGCTGGGGGCGACATTAACACCGCAGCTGCCGCCGTCGAAGCCTCCCAAAAGGCATTCAACAGCTGGCGCTGGCTACCCCCAGCCCAGCGCGCCGGCCTACTCATGAAATGCTCAGAAGCCTTGGAGAAACATGGCGAGGAGCTCGCCCACCTCCTGTGCCTTGAGAACGGCAAGCCATACCAGGATGCTCTCCTGTTCGACGTCGGCTTCCTCGTCGGCGCCTTCCGCTACTTCGGCTCCCTGGCTGACAAGCTGCCCGACCAATTCTTCGACCGAGGCGCCATGTACGCCACGGTCATGCGGGAGCCGTACGGAGTCTGCGTGGGCATCCTGCCATTCAACTGGCCGCCCATCCATCTCGGGGGCAAGCTGGCACCATGCCTGGCGGCAGGAAACACGATGATCATCAAGCCGGGTGATCAGACGCCGCTGACGGTCCTGAGGGCCGTCGAGATTCTGCAGACTGTGCTGCCACCTGACGTCGTCATTGCGGTTCCTGCTCGTGGCCCCGCGGTCCCCCAGGCCTTGGTGGCTAACCCGGCTGTCCGCGCCGTCAGCTTCACGGGTTCGACAGCCGCCGGGGCCGCGGTGGCACGCACGGCGGCGGACACGATCAAGCCTGCGACATTGGAGCTGGGAGGGAAGAATGCAATGATCGTGTTCGAGGATACGGACTTGGACCGTGCAGTTGCCACTGCCCTCGAGGGAAGCTTCTTCAACAAGGGCGAGGCGTGTACGGCGACGAGCCGTCTCCTCGTCCACGAAGCAGTCCATGACGCCTTCGTGGAAAAGTTGTCCGTGGGCGTCCGAAAGATCGTGACGGGCAACGGCATGAATCCGAAGACGCACGTGGGCCCGTGTGTGAACAAGGCTTCCCAGGAACGTGTGCTGGGATATATCCAGAAAGGCAAGGAAGAGGGGGCGACGATCGCTGCCCAGGGCGCGCTGCCGTCCAGCCCGGAGTCGCAGAATGGCTCCTTTGTGGCCCCGACGCTCTTCACCAATGTCACGCCGCGGATGACCATCGCGAGGGAGGAGATATTCGGCCCAGTGAGCGTCGTGATCAAGTTCTCCACCGAGGACGAGGCAGTGTCCATCAGCAACGACTCCGTTTACGGGCTGACCGCCGTCCTCTTCTCGAAGGACCACGAGCGCTGTCTCCGCGTTGCAAGAAAGCTCGATGTCGGCATGATCTTCTTCAACCAGTATAATCGTGCCGTCCTGGGAACGCCTTTTGGCGGCGCCAACCACAGTGGTTATGGCCGTGAGCACTGCATAGACACGCTGCGGGAATGGACGCGGGCCAAGGCCATCCATCAGCCATCGGGACTGCATGCTGTTCCTCAATGGAGAGCGGTCAAGGACTGTCTCCAGAACTAGCCATGCCAAATTTGGTTGTCTAACAGCCGTAGCCCTCGTGAGAAGCTGTGGTCGACACTCCCAGTTGGTGAGAACGGTCCCAGAGAGTGAATTATCGCATTGGACAGCCAATATATTGGTCTCGTTTCATAGACAATTGTCGAGTTCCGACGAAGGGCGGAAGTCGCTCAATTAACCTGAGGGTTTGATTGTTTGTTCCCTACACACATAGCTTGCTATAGTCTTGATTCGTTAAACGTCTGATATCAATATGTTACTCAACTAGATTTATTCCAATTCTATGTAAATCATGAGAAAAAACATTGTTTGTTTCCATTTCTAGTTTTTCCACGTGAGCCGGCTCTCGAGCAACATTTTTATCAGACCAGCTGGCAGTAATCCCTTCTTGATCGCGAAGAGACCGCCAAAGCGCGCCTCCATATCCTTCGCATACAGCTGAATGACCCATCTCTCGTAGTTGTTCCATCGTGTACGAGCTTCTGCTTGCGAACTGTACTCAATGCCCATGTTAAGGTCCTTTACTATCCTAATTTCCGGCTCTGCGTGCTCTGAAAATAACCATGAATATTCCATCCCAAGAGCCAAGCTTGTCACTTCCCGATGCTGGATGAACTCTTCGAAACTCATGAATGGTTCATCTCGGAGGTCGGCCCAATCCCCAGTCGGTTCTGGAAAGCCTCCAGCAGCGCGGCGAGTCTGGTTCTGCTCAGGGTTATCTCCCGAGACGTCTAAATCGACGATCTGGCTAGAACTCTCGTTGCTCATGCCTAGATCCTCGAAAATCTGCTTTCGCCAACGATATTCCTTCTCTTCGTCCTGGAAGAAATTCTCCAGGAATTTCTCGGAGCTCTTGGCCGCCGAGTGGATGAACAGATTGTGATAGATGAAGGGGTTTTCCAGCCCCAACCCACCCAGCATTGGCGGATAGTAGAGGCAGCCATCAGGGATGTCTGAAACTCCAAACCGATCTTGAATCATCTGCTTCAAGTGTTGCTCGACGCTCCCATTGGAAGGTCGGAACACGCGGGACTGGATACGTCGAAGAGTTTCGAGCAACTCATGAAGCTGTTGGCGAGTAGTGCTTACGTCAATCCAGCGGCGATTTTGCAGGAAGAAGCGGCAGCCGTAAAGGTTCCAGGCCAGGACGAAATCGAAGATGCTGTTGGACGCTTTGAGCCGACGGTCGAGTGCTTCGATGTATACATCCACCTTTGCTTGGTTAACCACGAACTCTCCAGAAGCAGCATCCAGTCTAATCAGACCCCAAACCAGGTCGCGACTGGGAAGATTGGCGTTGGCGGTAGCTTGCTCATGGGATCCGGCCGCGAGGATCTGGCATGATCCCGTTTTGTCTTCGTCAAATTCCAAGCCCATGACATGAGAGAAGTTCGTCAGGGTGTCCCAGCCCTTGGAGCAAACTTCAGTATCGCCCCAGAGCCAGAAATCATCCTGCAAACGCCACAGCTTAGCACCGCCAGTTTTCTGGTTTACAGCGAACTCTACACAAAAGAGAACCGCTTCGCTAAAGAACGTCGCCAGACGGGTGCCAATGGGGTTACCACGCTTCCGGACGCGGGGCGCTGAACCTGGCGCGTCATCCTTGAAAGTGATAGGAGCCTCTAGAACTTTCTTGAACAGGTCAATCCACTCCTCTTGAACACCGAAGTATCTCAGGACAGTAAAGATCGAGTTATGAGGAAGCGAGGAACCAAGCCACTTAAAATCAGATCGAATTACCGCTGTGTCCATCTTCAATTTCCTCCGCACGATTAGATGGGCTTGGATCCGATGGAGAAGTTCCTGAGCATTGCGAGTATTCTGAGAGCGTTGCGCTTCCTCATAGCCATATTCGGGCTTGTCTTCATCGTCCATCCAATGATATCCAGCTCCGACCGGGAGCTGATCGAGAAAGATATCATCTCTCCAAATGTCGTCGTTTTGGTCCTCGACGCTACCACCTGGGAGCGCAGCGTTGCCCAAGAAAAACTGACGGCGTCGAAGAGCTTGCTTGCTCAGTTTCCCTGAGGGGGACTTCAAAACACCATCGGCGAATATGAACTCGGTAAGAGCTCGCTTGAGTTCAATCGCCCATTTCGCGCCGATATACTGGAGGAAGATCATCTGCAGGAGGTCTTCGTCAGGATAGAAACGGCACCGGCCGTTAAGCTGCCGCCGCTGCTCAATGATCGTCGGGCCGTCCAGCGCGAATGAATTGCGTGCGGCCATTCGTATGTTCATGGCGTCTTTTATCTCAGAGAGAACAATCTTATCCTCTAGAAAGCCACGTAGCGCTGACTGTTTTGAGTCTGAAATGACGCCGTGATCCAGAATACTTTGGATGCATCCGGTGACTACCTCCGTTTCGAAGTGTGATGTCCTCTCCCAGTTCGTTTGGAAATCCTTGATCTGGCTTCGGAGTCTCTCGAACGCACCCATCACCTCCTTGGAAGGATTGTTGGCAAAGATCTCATCAAGATACGCGTTTATTGCGGTGGTGTCTGTTTCCTTGGCGTTGAATACATACTCCTCTAAGGTGGCGCGCTGCTGATGCATATCCTCATGTCCGAGGGCAGCGAACCCGCTCTCAGAGTCTGTCGCATTTGCATTGTTGGAGGATGTCCACTCCTTCACCAACTCCCCGTAAAGCTCAGTAAAGTCGTACTTTGCTGTCTCGGCATCGAGCTGGCTTCGGATGGTGTTTTCGTAATCGGCTAAGACCTGCTCAGAAATGGAGGGATCGAATCTTGCCTGCTCAACAAAGAACCATAGACGGCCAATGTTGAAGAGGGGGTGACTCCTCAAGTGCTTTATGCCAGGAAGCTCTTCGGATCCGTCGAGCAGCAACTGGACGCGAGTCCTGCTATCTGCTTCCCTCTGGGCTTTTTCTAACAATGACTGCTTGGCGCGCTCATATTCTTGCTTTTGCCTCCTAAGCTCGGGTATCTTGATTCCAGTCACAGTATGAAGGGTTTCTGTCAAAGTGTCGGAAGAAGCCATACTTGCGAAAGCTGGGGGATCCTGTTTCAGGGAGGATAGATCTTGGATAATTTCTACAATGCTCCAAATAGCTGGTGATTATGGGTAAAGATAAAGTCCGACATACTTCGTGGTGCAATATATACTTGCAAGATTGAGTGAGCCATCTTCACGCAAGTGGCACCTGGCCAGGAGGACGTCTGTTTAACCAATCCACGGCGAGCCTCGTTGGGGATTAGCCGGCGTAGGATTCTTATGCAATGTCCTCTCAGCAGCCAAAGGGCCGATATGTTTATGAGCAGTGTCATAAAAGCAACCCAATTAAATTGATGAATTCTTAAATGACCAATTTGGGACAATGACCGCGAGCCTACCTACGTAAGCTAACATTTTTATGAAACCTCTAACCCTAAGGTATAACCCGAAATGTACGTACGGAGCTCAGCTCGCCTGGCCGACATCTTCGTAATCATCCTTACTGCTATCAATTTCATAGATATCTTTAGGAGGCTGAGTACGATGATAATTATTAGAGCTGATAATAAAAGATATAGAGTTACCTCGAACTAGGTAAGCTTATATCCCCTCTGGGATTCTTATCAGAGAGCTATTTATCTCAGAGCTATTAAGTAACTTTATATAATTTTTAGTAAATAGGTTATATATAGAAAGTTAGGTTATGAAAAATAATCATATTAATAATATATAGATAGGGGATGTACGGAGTTCGGGTTAATTATTAGTTATGAACCCGATGCCGAGTCCAAATCCCGATGTCAAGTCATAGTCTATGAAAGCCGAGGCTGGCGGTACATTTAGTAATTGCATACAGACTGCTCTGATATCCGCCTTTTACTTACCGCACCAGTGACTTAGAAATGCGTTTTCTAATAATACTCTGCCACTTGCTCCGTCGGAAGCTACTCTTGCGCATACCTGATTGTGTGGATCACCATTCCACTTAACCTCTTTACTATCGGGTGCCTTGACTAAAGGACTCACATGCCAATAACCACGCCGAGAGAGATGCCGTATTCGCCAGAGAACTTAGATGATTCTCTTCTGGTAGGTAGCATGTTGCTACGCGCTGAGCCACCAGCCTTTGCAGATAGTATGGAATTGCCTTGCTTACTCTCCGCAGGCTCGTCGAGCAAAGAATCGCCAGGCCCAGCGCCAGTTCCGCCAGCGTCGGCAAGAGGCATTGGATGCCCAGGAAGGACGAATCAGGCATCTGGAGCACGTAGCCGAGCAGATGAGTTGCGTTTTTATGAGCTTTTTCGATGAAATGATTAAGACAAAACCAATTGTGGAGGAGAATCCAGCCTTAGGCGATCACCTTCGGCAAACTGCAGCACGCATGTTAGCATTAGCAAGACAGGTGGATGAGGAACAGCCAAGAGCACGAACACAAGAAAAGGAGGCTCGGCCTCTCTCTTCACAAAATCATACACAACTGGGACTACCGTATACCAATTCGTTCCCTGATACGACAAGGGCGGGATCGTCTGTGCGTACAGCCAGAAACATCGGCGCGGCTGTCACTCAGGAAGAGAGCGTGAGCCCAATATCTTTACCGACAGAAGCTCCCTTTATGCTCAAGTCCTCTGCCACGAGATTACAGCCATTTCCGTATTCAGTACTTGATGCTGGTCGGCCCTTGCAGGCCTTGAGCCCGTTTACAACTGAGCTACTCGAGACAACCCTACGTCGGGCCTACGTCTTCCTGGAGAATGCGCCCGACTTGTCAGCCGAGAAAGTACAGCGCATTTTCGGGTTCACTCTTCGTCATCTTACCCGTGAGCAGATCCTCGCTGCCCAAAGATGGCTGCTTGGCCCGGGCCGATGTTCCATGCATCAAGCTGCCGAAGTATACGTAACTATCGGTAGCTACGGCAATGCCCCTCCCGGGCCTCGGGTTCTAACCTGGAATAGTGAGTTTAGAGAAGACAACCTTACATCACAGCCCGATTGGCTTGGCGCGTCTGATGTCCAAAAGGAGCTTGAGTGGCTTGGTGTCGAGTTTGTAGATGATCGTACGATTGAGATCAACACCCAGCACCCTCGCTTGTATCCCCTCGGCTCCGATGACGGGGACAAGGCTGCATTGCGGAATCCATTTGGATATATTGTCCAAACTAAACACATTGCGCCTAGCATATCCGACGCGTCAAGAATAAGAATCCGACAGTCTCTTCTGATACACCAACTGTGCACAAGGGCTGTGTGCTTTGGCACGGGGCCAAGATATTCACGCCCGGACCTGGCGAGGATAATACAAGCCCTGCCAAGTATGGTTTAAAATATACATATTGATGAGTTGGGCTAAAATGGCTTTCGTGGACTCCCAGGAGAAAGAGTCGGTGCATGATTTTCATCTCTTACTCTTTTCCTAATTTTTATGAACCTGAAAGCAGCCCCCAATTACAAAAAGGATGAAGCAAACAAGTAAGACCAAGGGCGGCAATGGCCCGGCACAAAGATGGGGCAACGGTGCAATATTGCGTTCAATGCTCCCGAGCAACAACGTCTCAGGTATGGTTGGAACATAACTGAGTAGCTCAACACGTATTCCGTCAGCGGCGGAATTGTCAGCCTATATGACGAGGCAATGAGTGACGTATATTTTGTCAAATATGATCCTCATATTGTTTCTAGAGATCCTTGGCGCAAGCATAGTCTGAGCCTTTTCGGAAACTGAAGCTAGGCCTTTCCCTCGCCCCCCGAATTCTCGCCAAGATAAGATTCATATTAGAAGGCACGGTCGACTCTATTTATACCATACCATTCATATGAGCCATATACAGTAGCTCTCATGGCTAAAGATACTATCCTCGCCTCAAGACCCTCGTACATAGGTATTATAATAAATCTCTCTTTATTAACTTTCTCAACTATACGGTATAGGCCCTCAAGCGGACACTCTGATAGAGGATATTAGTCGTAGGGCAGGGAATCGCGGACTCTCGGTCGTAAAACCCAACTTCCACCTGGTTCATCTTGACGTTTGAAGATACTTAGGTCAAACAAAACCTTCTAAGCGCCGGAATGCCGAAGTAGTCAAGATCCCACTAACACCGGCACCAATAATCGCTACTCGACTGGCTCTGGATGATATCTGGCCCAGAAACTCAATACTCCCGATCGTTCTAATAATGGAACCAAATATCAATATCATGAACAGCCCGGGGATAGGCTACTAGAACGTACGAGGAACGCTAGCACGTAACGAGGCAAGCACAACAGAGTCAAGAATACGGCCGACGATTCGGGAATAATGCTTGTAAGAGATCATGTTAAGGTCCCGGATACTACGCCAAATCCGCGACACGTACTGTTGCCGAACGAAAAGCCCTAACTCTCTGGACACAAAACGGCAGGTTTTTAAAGGTGTAGGACAACTTGAAGCCAGCTCGATGCAAAGAGTCAAAAGAGTAAGCATCTTGTACGAAGTGCTCAAGAAGGCAAAGAAGGTAGGAGGGAGGCCCCAAAGAGCTTGGCACGAATCTTGCTATAGACCCGCGGTCGTATGTGCTACTTGCTGTAGGGATTCGTGTTATCGGAGTTGAGCATTCCTAGTTTCCCACGTTATACATCGGCGCTCGTCTCTGAAGCGGCTGAACATTTCCGACCTGGCTGGCTTTTTCTAAGTAGGCCGCATGCTGCAGAGAGCCAAAGCTAGAAGCCATTATGACCGTAGGACATCACTTTCCCAAGTTTAGTTCTATCGGAGGCGGGTCCGAAGGTGATGTAACTTTGATGGCTAAACACAGTGAGTGACATAATGAGCCCGAGGGAAAGATGACATAAAGACTCCGAGGAATGCCGCATGCGAGGATTTCGTGATTATTCATCGGCCCGGTCACTCAGCACCTCGCCCCAACTTCACTAATAAGATCGGCAAGCCCATCACTATATATTTATACCGCAGAACGGAAACAGTTTTTAGGATTCGGCTGATCCCAAGGAAGCGTCTCACTACTTGACAGTCATACGAAGGCAGAAAGCCGTATGCGAGATAAAATGAAAAGCCGTGATGACCAACCGTTGCTAAAAAACCCGGGCGCAAATGCGTATCCAGCTCAGACTGGGGACCAACCACAAAATGCCCTTCAAACCATCTATATCTGGTTGGCTTGGGCACTATGGCCGCCGCTCTCTCCATACTAGTGCCTTACTATTATCTAAGAGTATGCAAGTAAGCTACTACCTTATAACACCGAGAGCAAATGCAAAGCATAGCTTTTTAACAAGCCTCTCAGAGAGCAATTGTTCGCCGCTTGGAGAAGAGGTGGTAACGAGGTAGTCGCAAGGAAATTCGAGGCTTAATCACATTCACGTTCAGCCAATACGGAATGAGACTGGTCTGGGGTTTATACTGTCCTTTCTTATTACTCAACGGCAATATAGATGATCGATTAAGTCGGGGTAATGAAAGAGAGCTTAAACCTAGAAGGCGGAAGTTACCTGGACATAATACAATTCCGGGATCATCTCCATATAGTCTATGACTGCTTTCATGATCTCTTTAAATTTGGTCTCTTACTTTCTTTCCGGCCTGTTAACTCGATATATGTCTTGGTCTCTGTGCTAGGGCGAGGGTAATGAAGAAAATATTATTTGAGTCGGCCGTGAGATGTTGATTACGTTGCTCTTCTATTCTTGGTATTGTAGGGTGCATTGTTCTTCCCTCAAGCCACTGTGTGTATTTGTGTTGAGCATGGTATCAAATTGAGCAACAACAGGTCATGGGACTATAGACACGGCTACAGTCGATAGTGCTATCCCATGCGGTTACTTTCTGACTACCTTGCATGGTATCTATTATATTTGATTGACTTGAATTGTGAGTAAATAAAAAACCAGGTACTTGTCATACGTAGAAGTCGGCTGCTCGACTCAACTGCCTACCTCGCGTTCTTGAAAAGTCACTCGTCAATAATGGGGGCACTAATGACTGCGTCCTCCCTATCGAGCCAATCGTCAGTCCTTGAGGAACGAGTTGAAAAATACGCTGGTTTGCGTAGGCTAGATCATTCGAAGGAGGGCTGGTATAAGAGTCTTAAGCTAGCCTTTATATAAGGGACTGTAGAAACATCACATTGATCCGTGCCTTCAATCTTGCTGTGACTGCTGCACTGTTACGATATACTTGTAAACTCTGTACGTAAAAAGGAGTACCACGTTGAGCGGCCTACTCTAGTTTCAAATTTCTAAAGGCACAAAAAGATATGTAATGTCACAGTCAGAAGGATGTGTCCCCCCGTATATCCCTCAAACTATTGCCCCTAAAACCTTCCTTTCTGGCGACTCAACCTTCATTTGCCTATTCGTAATTACGAAAAATACCGCATAATCTGAGTTCCACTATGTTCCAAGCTGTGAGCCTTGGCTCATTGCCTCAATCATCTCGGTGTTGAGAGTCTTAGGGGTTGACCAAACGTTCAGTCATCATGAAACTTTTTTGGACATGTCTCGCGGTGTTAGATACATGTGGTATTCCGGTTTTTCCCAGAGCACGTAGGTCTTGTTTGCATCAAACCAGTTGAAATCCGGCTCGACCAGCCTGAGATCAAAGTTCCATATGATTCTAGCCAGAATCATGCGCATTTCTGCATAGGCAAGGCTAGAATTGTTAAGATCATAGTCAGCAAATGGTAAATTTGTCAAGTGGAGCGCAGTTTTCTTTTTGCTTACTTTTTACCAATACAGTTGCGTGGACCAACAGAAAAAGGCTGCAATGCTTGGATACGATCGCCTGCGAAGCGCGGGTCACCGAGCCAGCGTTCGGGGGCGAATGCATCGGGCAAGGTGAAATTTTTAGGACTGTGGTACATTGGCCATTGCCAAATACCGAGTAACGTCTGCATGAATTGATCAGCCCTGATGATAGTTTGAAATGCTCAACCCTTTCGCCCTTACCCCTCCAGGGACGTAGTGCCCTAATATTGTATCACCTTGAGGTTGTGTAACACGCAGAGGCGGAGTTGGGACAGGTGGATAAAATCGCATTGCCTCGTTGAGAACAGCCAGCATGTAGTCCAGGCGCTGAACAGTTATGAGATCAATCTGACTTTCATCAATGAAGCTTGTCCTGACTTCCTGCTCAAGCTTGGCCAACACTTCGGGGTGAGTTGCCAAGAGATGAGTGGCGCCAGAAAGAGCCGTTGCGGTAGTTTCCGAGCCAGCAAGAATCAAAAACTTGGCGTTGTCTATGATTTCTGGCATTGTCATACTCTATATCGAATATGTCAGCACCAAAATCCACCAGTGGACTTGCGTTGTTATACTTACCAGTCCAGCCTTCGGGTGAGACATAGCTTCCATAAAGTCCGGCCTGGAGTGCCCAAGACCGAGCCGCTGTGCAACCTTCTCCTCACTTAATTTCCTATGCTTGAAAGCGCGCTCCATCAAACTCTTGGGCAAGAACCACCGCAAGCAAAACCGAGTGACTGTCCATCGACGAAACATTGTCTGAATGGCGTTGATACGCACGGCATCGAAGATAAATTTTACCCATGGGTGGTAGTCAGAGCCTTCCAAACAGCCAAATGATTCGCCAAATACCAGATCGCCAATGATATCAAACGTGGTCCAGTTGTACCAGGATACCATGCCCACTGGTTCAGTGCCATCTTTGCATCTCTCCCGAAGTCGTTCGATGAGAAGATCTACGTAGCGTCTCACTAATGGCTGTTGGTCCATTATCGCTTGAGATGAAAACCCATGGGCAAGAACTCTTCTCAACCGGCCGTGGTTCTCGCGGCTAGCTGCGATGATGGCGTTTGGTTGGGGCTCCCAAAACAAAGGGTCTTTTCCATTCTCGCCTTGGCCTTGCTTTCGATGGCCCATAATGTTGTGCCATGCCTCAGGACTGATAAATGCGAGCTCGTCAGGTGCTATACGAACAACTTCTCCATATTGCTCATGGAGTTGCAGCACGCGCTTGTGGGAATGGCCCGAGATAATCATTAAAGCATACGGGATACGCGAAGCCGCCCATATTTTCGGGCCAGGGTAGTTTCTGAGGGGATGGAAATATATATTGTACACCAGTATTGAGGTCACGTAAAGAATAGACTGTACCGAGATATCAGTTTCCTTATGGTCCTAGGGTGAGGCTGATGGAAGATAGTGCAAGGGGAGCTTACCAATGCTAATCCTGTTAAGATTAAAGATACCGCAGAAAACCAGGTGGCAAGCATGGTGAAATATTGCGGTGATGATGTGGCTTGGAGATCTCTTGGCGTATGTTATTCTTCCCAAAGTTGTTGAGGTCAAGACAACTTTTATGTTGAATGAGCCGAGCTTAATTCAATTTTGGAAGATTTTGACGACTCAGTATCAAATGCCGAAGCGGGACTTCTTCAGAGGCAACCGAGGCTCATCTCCACCTACCCATAGAGGATGAAGCAAGTCGTAGTGGCACTTTATGTAAACACTCCGATAGCGTTGGTAATTGTTCCGGCTCGATGTATCCTACAAATAAGAGACCTTCAAGACTCATCCGAGGAAATCGAAGATGATTGCCACTTCGACAAAGAGTTGCTTCCTTGTTTACACTGAGTATCAACTCCGTACATTAACCTCTCATGTGTCCCTATTGCCTTGGCATGTACTGCACAGTACACAACAATAGTACAGCACAGTGGCTCTTGAACACAATTCCTGTCTAGCACAGACCTTCGAGCCGTGTGGCTACTGAGGCTCATTTCGTTAAACTTTCCTAATTATTTTACAACGTAGTAATTAATGTGCAATGCTTGTTAGCCACGACCCACCGGTTATCGTTGAGTGTCCCACCTTCTAGTTACAATTTGTTTAAATTGACATGCGATTTGCAGGTATGTAGTTTGACATGTTGATGTATTGTAGCCTACAATTTCTTTAGGTGCATCCTGCTTACCTATTGATGATCGTCCGCGTAGTATGTGCGTGGGAGAATACGAATAATAAACTTTAATAACAATAAAGCTGCCAGGGCCTGACCAGCTTAACATAGTAAATACGAAAAGCTTAAAAATATAGCCTTTTCTTATATACCCAAGGAGTTATATAGTCAGAAAACTCTAATTATTATATAAATAACTTACTTACTATCAGGATAGCAGCTTATTAAATAACTATTAATACTATCTCTTTTACCTAGCTTCTTATCTTATACCGATCTAACTATATTAACTAATCTAAGTATAAGCTTAAAGATACTAATTAATCTAGTAAGTACTATAAGCCTGTTAGCCAGAGTACCTATACTAATATATCTACAGCCTTTACTATTTATCCTAGTAATTAGGAAATTATACTAAAGAAAGATATTTTAGTTCCTTCTTTTAAAAAGGGTAAAATTACTTAGTTAGATATTAAAATACTAAGAATTAATACTAATAGCTCTAAGTATACTAATTAAGCTTAAGTAATTCTAATTATTCTGCTTAATTAGTTATATAAAGAAAAACCTAAGGAAATTAAGTTCTTTAAAGATCTTAATCTACCCTAGTAGATTAAAAAACTTTAAAATCTCTTAGTAGAATATCTACTAGGAGTTTTAAACTTCAGTCAGGATATTCTTAGTTATATACCTATAGAGGATATTAGTATAAAGACTACCTTAGAGTTAAAGAGAGGTAATAAGTTAGATTAGTAGAAGTTCTTAGTACCTAAGGCCAGATCGCTATAATCAGCTGCAGCTACTAATAAGAACAAGTAATATAATACAGAGGAAGGGTTCTTAGAGGTAGTATTAATAGAAATGCTTTGAAGCTTTTAAAACACAGTGGAAGCCGCGTAGTATGTAGCATTCTCATTCCGGGGAAAGCCATTTGATATTATACGTTCCCCAAAGAAGACTTATAGTTTTACCTAACTGTATACGCAAGCAAATACTAGTGATCTAGTGACAAGGAGGGTCTGGTCGTCTTTCTAAAGGTGTTTTTATCTTGGATATTGAGAATGGTCCTTTCTTGCTTTTCTATCTAGTGGCGTTGTCATAATCATCCATAAAGACTCGCTTGAGACTTTCCTTTTTCACCTGCCATCTGTTAGAATTGAGAGTCTTTCTAGGTGTTCTTCTGCCGGATTCCCTAGCGTCAGCACGATCAGTTTGACAAAGGTGCCCTTGTCTTGTAGTGAGAGATATATAATGATGATTCCAAATCGGTGGGTGGCTTGGGCCATGGCTGAGGTGACATTATCGATTTCCTTCCTGTACAAAAAGTATTGGTTCACAGACGCATCACATTCCCGAGGCTTTGGTATACACACCTGCTCCGCCTTCTCTCACGTTTTTGCTCTTTTTTCTTTATGTATTATATGAATTCTGCTCCGTTGAGGTATGGGCTCCCATAAATCGACTGCAATACATACTATAGGATCGCAGCAATGATGTATAAACCATCAGTACCCAAGGGCTAGCCATCCTCGTCCCAGGTCTACCTAAAGATTCTTCCTCAGAAATTCAATCTGGTGAGAGATGTTCTCCTCAAAGTGGCCACCTTGATATACATCAAAATGGCCACAATCCATCTTGAGAAGTTCTTTAGGCTCTTTGGCCATCTCAAACACATCCAACTGCACCTTTGGATCAATCAAGGAGTCCGCAAGGCCCACTGCCATGAAGAATGGCTTTGGCGAAAGCTGAGTAGCATACACGCTTGGCTCCGCCCGAATAGCGTGAAACAGACTTTGTAGCGTTATCTTGTTCTCCTTTTTCTGACCAAAAGCTTTTACTGTCTGGGAGTAATACCAGCTTTCTTCCGTTCCAAGCACAGCGGCATCTGGATCTTTCTGAGCCTGATCCAATGATTCCGGGAATGTGGGAACATAGGATGGCTTGTGGAAAGATGTCTGTCCGCGGTCGGAAAAGATTTTAGTGAGAACATCAGGAGCCATACGTCTTCGTGTAGCGTGACCCGAGACGAAGGGCACCTGAGTAATGACCACTTGGACACGCGGGTCAACTGCGCCCACGGCCATAACGATGCCGCCGGAGAAGCTAGAGCCCCATAGTGCGATACGATTCTGGTCTACGCCTGGACGAATCGAAGCGTAGTATACAACATCATGGAGGTCTTGTGTCTGTTGGTAATGATCGGTATGGTGGCGGGGTAGCCCGTCGCTCTCTCCCCAGTTTCTGTGGTCGAATACGATAGCAGCAAACCCAGCAGCTTGGAAGCGCTCTGCAAAACGATCAAGAAAATGCTCCTTGATTCCCGCCATCTGTATCTCCCTCGGTCAATAGAGATCCCCCAGGCTTACACGAAATTTTGAGTCACTTGCCCCGGGTGATAGAATGATCGTAGGGGCTTTCGACCCGCTAGGATAGAACCAACCCCTCAGGGTGAAACCATCATGAGTTTCGATTTCGATGTTCTCGCGTAAGTTCGTAGACATTGTGGCTTGCTTCAAGATTCAGGGATGTGGTATGCTTTTGGGTAGGGAGGGCAGAGATCTTTATCCAATCACGGATGGGTATGGTATCAAGTTATCAAATTACTGGTGTTTGGGAATCCCTGCCCTTTATTTTTCAGCAGCTGTACAGCTCCCTCACTTAATACTATCCAATCACGGATTCATAGCTATTCCCGTTGACATCGGTATACCTAGTAGCAAAGCCGACATGTGCTACTCAACCTCGGGGTCAAAAAGAACAACATATCTAAGCTTGTCATCGCTCTTCACCAGGTAACATACTATCGTATCAACCGAGGCTTCAATTGACGGGAAGTGATCATCGACACTACGAAGATGGCGTCATTTTGCCCTGCGGGATGAGCAAACTCGGGGTTTTTATGTAAACGTGTGCATCCGGTGACGATGACTACGGTTCCCGTGGCTCCACCTACCTCGGCAGGGAATTGAAGACTACGACTTTTAAAAGACGGTTAAGCTTTTATGGACAAAACTTTAGACAAGACAACAAGAATATTCAGAGCTACCGCGGGCAGCACTAGGGTCTCATACTATCTTACTACATCACCTTTGTTCTCCCCACCTGCCTTGTTTGTCTCTAGAAAGAGCCATGGCAGAACTTCGATCAGCGGTTTACGTCGCCCCTCCAACCCTAGCAATCCGACCGCCACCCGTTTCGGCTAGAGGAAACTGGTCTCCGATCTCTTGCACTTTGATATATTCAAACAAAGAGGCTGTACTCGTCGACACACCTATTACTATCAAGCAGACGGAAGATCTCATCCGCTGGATCGAAAAGATTGCCCCAAACCGCAAACTTTCCTATATATACATCACTCATGGCCATGGAGATCACTTTTTTGGAATTCCTCTTCTGCTAAGTAGCTTCCCCGAAGCAGTTCCAGTTGCCACTCCTGGAACTGTGAAGCACATGCAGCAACAGATCGAGGAGCCATACTTCACCGAAACTTGGGGTTGTCGATTCCCCGGCCAGATTTTCCAGCCATTCAAACTTGCGAAGCCACTGTTTAATGGTCCCAACCCTGTCTTTAAGCTCGAGAACCGATGGGAATTACAGGCTATTGAGTGTGGTCATTCTGATACACATGACTCAACAGTCCTCTGGGTGCCAGACCTCAAATTAGCCGTTTGTGGAGATGTTGTGTATGGACAAGTACACCAGATGCTCTTCGAAGCAAACACAAAAGCGAAGCGAGAGGAGTGGATTCGGGCTATCGAGACGGTAGAGGCCCTGAAACCTGTATATGTGGTTCCTGGGCACAGACAGGCAGAGGAGATTGATGGCATATGGCATTTAGCAGCAACCAAGAAGTACATTGAAGACTTTGGTCGCGTGCTGGAGCGGGGCCCTGAGAATGCGACGAAAATTGTCGACGATATGATGGAGCTCTATCCAGATCGCTATAACCCAAATGCTCTAAAGCTCAGTGCTGCTGGCGCATTTTTGGTTTCGAAGGAGTCTAGAATTTGAACAATACATTATCTCTGTAGGGACATTCGAGCCAGGCATACCCCTCGGAAATTGAGCATTTCGCGCACAAGCCCGTGTACTTAGCACCATGGCGCAGTCAACTGGACGACCAGATTATTTAAAGAGGGTGCCAAATATGAAGTCGGTGTATCCGTACCCAAATCTCGCTTCGTGGCCCAGTGCTTGTTGTATTTTATAGAGATGTGTCTACAGCCAAACACACGGGAATTGAAGGCTTGGTTGTGCGATACTAGGTAGTACTTTGAATCAAAATAAAGCTGTGATCGCATCAGTTGCGTTATAAGTAATTGATTAATCCAGTAGCATCGCCGTCGTCTTGATCCGGCAGGCCGCTGCTTTCCTCATCACATTAGTTGGGAAGCTCTTCAGTACAGTTTCCTGTTCCTCTGCCCTTATGTCCATCAAGTACAAAACAATGCGGTCAGAGAAGTATCAAGACTCTTGTTTGAACACTGGGCACATAGCTCACACGAGAATACATGGCATACTATTATTCGAAACAGAAGGGGGATCGATATTTGTCAATTGGTTGCATTTAAAGATGCTATGATACCTTGCATCTAGATACGTCATGCCATTCCTCCCGGCTGAGGGAAACAACTCTGATGCTTTAGTCTGAAAACAATCAGGTTGACAGGCCAGGGGTGTTATCATCTCCACCGATGTTCGCATGCAATATCAAAATTTTGGTAACTGCCAGCGAGAGTCATCCTGTCTCTGTTAGTTTCTCTCGATCAAAAATACACTCATGGTACACATACGAAATAACCTTGCTCCCGCAAGATTTGCTCTTCATCTTCATCCGTAAAGGTGTTTTCTGCAATCCATTTGTCGTTCATGGCCGTGCCAAAATCCGGAGGTGCCATGCCCTGCAGTCTCCAATTGTCACGTGGGGTCTCGTAGATGTTGGACTCCCACCTGATGTCCTTGGGTTTCAGGACTGGTCGCACAACATCGTCCAGTGCCTTAAGAAAATGTTCACCTTCGTCCTTAGTTCGGATATTCGCGGCGGCATGGTAGATTGTGATGGTCGTAGAAGGGTGAGAGGTCTCACCGCCAGACCAGAAATCGTCGGGCTCCAGCTCAAAGAACTGCACATGTGCGAGAAAGGCAGGCAGCCCAAAGGTTGTGTAGATCTTCGACATGCCTTTTGCAAGCTTCTCCTTATCATCCCTGGTGAGAGCCCCCTTCGTATAGTTGAATACCCATCGTGGCATGTTTGCGGTTGCAGATACTTCAAAGCCTGGTATACGTTGGATGTGAATAGCTTGCCAGTGTTCTCGAGTCCTGCCGCCTTCACCCACTTAAATATTCACTCACTGAGTATGCCCATTGTCGGAGATGCGGCCTGGAGCCTCGGTATTCCCAGGAGATCTACGACACCCTAATCTTTGAGTACATAAGTTTAGTCATAGTCTCATGGAACACGCGAATATATGCCGAGGTCCAAATCCCAGCAACGGAGGAGAAGTTGCGGTATGGTTATGTCACAACTCCGAGGGTGTGAACGGCATCAATATACTTGGTGCCACGGGGGGCCGGGAACAATTTCTGTAAACGAAAGGGCACTTCCACTTCTGTTCGCGGGGACCTGATCGGCATTCCACACCGGCCACCTCCCTATAATATTCCTAGCACGCTTATCCAGCCCACAGCTAACTCGGCATCGTAACACACCCGGCGGGTCTCATGCTATCGGGACCACGACTGTACGTATGGCTATGCGTAAGGTTATCTAGTCTGCTGTAGCTAATCCGGCACAATGACTAAAGAATACCTTACTTGCCGAGCGGTTCACAGTTCCAATTTTCCTTAATGGAAGGATCATCCCTCGGGGTCAACGGCAAGTGGGAGGGTCGCCCCAGTAGTATAATTAGTTAATACACTACAGAAGATCTAAAAGAGACTAAGACTAAAGTATAGTAAATTTTAAGCTAATCTTAGAACTAAACTTAATAAGAGATCCGTGCGGTTCTATTTGATCTTGTGTTGGTAAGAAAGGTCAACGCAAGTGACTGTCAAATCGAGTTGATAAATTTGCTTCCCTTCCTCAACCAGCTACCGTATTTAAAAAGAAGCCAAGGGATCGGTAGAAGCGGAAGACAAAGGAAAGCAAAAATACTGCCAGCCCAGTTGACCCCAAGCTTCTCAAACATCTGAATGGTAAAGAGGGGAAACACTGCTCCTAGCGTGTATCGTATGATGCCGTTCGCCGCAAGGGCTGTAGAGGTTAGCTAAATGAAGTGAAGTAAGTTCTCTAGAATGTAGACTTGCCTGAAGCTGCACCTCCGGCGCCATAGAAGTCTACCGTGTAGGTGATTATAGATAACTACCCACCTAACTTAGTGCGAGTTCGGTCATTGAGGTCAATACAACTTACAAATAATGAGAATGAACCCATCCCAAAAGGGATTCCGGCTGCGACAAGGGCTGCCCAGCGGCCACCATCGTGCGCCTCCCAGGCGTACCTTCGAAACTTGTCAAAATATAAATACAAAAGATCTTGATCTCTCTTCAACTTACCAGAAAAGTCCCACCGGCAAACAAATGCTTCCGACAAACGCAGCGTACAATCGGTGTTCTGGGTCCGCCACACCGTTGGGGCTTGCTTTGCGTGCTCGATCGTGTAAAGTGTGGTCAAAACCTACATATATTGCGATCCTCAGCAGATAGCCAATAATAACACTGATGAAAGACAACCCAACTTCCCGCAGATTGAAGCCGTAGTAAAGTTGCAGAACATATGAGGCGCTCGCAAAGTAGCTGAATATCATGGCATATGCAAACGCTGCATATATAGCCAATGAAAAGACGACAGGTTCAGTGAGTAGCATTTTCGTCGGGCGTATGAGGGCACCCCTTATGATATCGCCAAGTGTTCGTATACCGACAGCCGGCTCGGACTTGGATTCAAGCTGCAATATCCGCGACTTCGACGTCTCCTTCATAAGCAAGCAACCAACCCAGATAGGGGCGCCTACGATGAGCAACAGGTATTGTGTCCATCGCCAATCATAGTTCCTATCATCCAACACATATGCCCCAGCTAGAGGACCCAATGTCGGTCCTAGAAATGGGGCTAGAATGAAGAGCAACGACGCATCTGCGCCAGTCTTGTCCAATCGCCAGATATCCGCGATAGAGCCTGCCCCAATAGCAACACCAGCGGACCCGAGGGTCCCGGCAAGAAAGCGACATGCTATGAGCGTGGAGAAATCTCGTGCCGCAGAAGCTCCGCCTATGAAAGCCAGATGGCAGGTGCTGGTGGCAACATAAATCCACTTTCGACCGAAGACTTCCGAGAACGGAGCGATGAACAGAGGGCCGATAGCTATGCCGAGCGTGTAGAGCGTGAGAGGCAAAAGGGACTGTGTTCGGGAGACGTTGAATTCTGCCATGATGAGATTGGTAGCGGGCACGGTGACCGACGTCGAGAATGTGCTGTTGTTAAATATTTAGTGTTGGATCTGTTATGTGATGGTTGTGAGGATAGTCACATTTCAAAAGCCAAGAGGCCTGGCATGATAGTATGGAATAGCTTCGATGCTTTATTCCAGTTGTTTGGGTTTCGTTTTTCCCTTGGATCGCTCCAGAGTATCTCCGAACTTGGCTCTTGTACCTCAAGAAATTCTAGATTCTGGGTCGAGTTCCTCTTACCGCCACATGCTTTTTCGGAACCGTCTTCGCCCATAGTTGTCGGTAGATCTATATGTCTTGTGGTTGGCAGTGAAATCTCGCTACAGTTAATGAAGTTAGAAATCAATTACTCAAAGTAAAAGTAGGGGTCGACTTTGGGCGGTGGGAGGTTGAAAGGACATCAACGAACCTAGTCCTAGCTGTAAAGGTATTTTCCTGCCAACGAATATTTATTCGCAGTTGGATGGAAAACAGCCTTTCTGGGGTTTAAAGTTAGGTTTAATGTGGTAATTACCGGTAACGCCAAAGGTCGGTTGCGTCTGATGCGTAGACTCTGATGTAGATACATCTGTATCACGCAATCGCCACGAGAATTTAGCCGGCAAGGCCAAGTCAATTTGACATAAAAGGCCCGACGGTACTCTTACATAAAAGGGTTATTGTATGTGGGGCTTAGACAAGCTCTTTATCCACGAGGTGTGCTCCATTGCTTTAACAGCTCCCGACACCTAACCCTGTACACCAAAATGCACAACGGAACCCAGCTCGACTGGCCTAAACATTCGGAATGATCCTCATTAATATCAACCTCAAAGATGTTTCGAGAAGGCTGAGCGCAGCTACAATTATCGGAGCCAATAACAAAAGACAAGGAGTTACCTAGACCCGAGCTTGCATCTCCCCTGAGATTCTCGCTAGAAAGGTATTTATCTCGGAGCCATCGACTGGCTTTGTGCAGTCCTCGATAGAGGGATCCATTAGTCATACCAACATCAAGAATTTCCTTGTACGCAATCCTCGCCATCTCTACGTACATTTCGTCCCCGACACTTGTGAGAGTGCCAATGACATGGCGGAACCCTAAAACCTGGCAGGCACTTACAAAGCGGATGTTCTCATCGGTAAGGCTCTCATTATGAATTTGGCTAGCTCCACAAGCCAAAGGTCAAGCCAGGAAGGGCGACCGTTTCTTCAAATTCAACTCGAGGAGGTCGGCCACACGAAGTGGACTCTGTTTCTAGTCTTCCAGAAGTAGACGATTATTGGATAGGTCGTTTTAGTCTGTGAAGCCGTGGCCATCAGAGTGAAACACAGCACAAAAAGGCAAGTACAGTACAAAAAGATGAATACAGTACAAAAGGTAAATGCAGTATGAAAAGATAAATACAGTATAAAAAGAAAAACATATCAAAAACATGACTGAACATGGTAATTCCTCCCGAGAATACCTATACATCTTTGGCAAGGATACCAAAAGTAGAGTATTGCATAGCCTTTCCTCAAGACGCTTCTGCCTCAAAGGCTCACTGGGGAATGAGCACGATACTTGGGCTTACGGTGAAGCTGGATTGCGTCACCTCTGCCCTTTCCCCAGATTCTTCTTGCCTTACTCGCTGCGAGGTCTGCGACCCCCAGTAAGGCCCGCGGCATGATCTTTGCCCTTCTTCACCATAATAGTTTTAACCCTGTCACTGTCCATTGGTGAACGAGGGCGAGGTCTGCGGCCGCCGGTAAGCCCCGCGGCATGATCTTTACCCTTCTTAACCATGATAGTTTTAACCCTGTCACTGTCCATTGGTGAACGAGGGCGGGGCCTGCGACCGCCAGTGAGCCCTGCAGCGTGATCTCTGCCCTTCTTATCCATGATGGTTTTGATCCTGTCACTGTCCATTGGGGAACGAGGGCGAGGTCTACGACCGGCGGTAAGCCCAGCGGCGTGATCTCTTCCCTTCTTATCCATTATGGTCTTGATCCTGTCACTGTCCATTGGTGAACGACTGAGGAGATCCTCCGACCGCAAGGAATGCGTCAGGCTATTGCTTCCGTCCGAGAGAATCTCCGCCGCTCGAGCGACGAGATCATAGTCGTACTGCGACCAGGATTGCAAGGCAGCCGTGGAACCAGTCAACGCTAACAAAACAACCGAGACTGCTGTGTTGGAGTACATGATTGCTAAGTTGTAGAGCGAATCGGTGAAATTTGTGTATAGAATAATGGAATATTGGTCGTTGTAGTAAAGTTGGTATTTGTTGTAGAACTAAAGGAAAGGTTGCTTTAGGGCGAACTGATAAGATTTGAGTATAGAAGAATGAAATAATAGTTGTTGTAGTAGAGTTGGTATGTGTTGTAGAACTGATGGAAAAGTTGCTTGCTTGAGAAGAAAGAACTACCTTGGAGAATGGGACTTTGAGCGCAATATATATTCCTCAACAGCTTCTGCCGCAACAGAGGCATGGAGCTGATACTACAAGGTCGACATGATATTACTTGTGACTACTAATTCTGTTTCGGCATTCATGATCACAGTTGAATCCTCTAAAGCAAACGGGCGCACAATACTACCAAATTCAGCCTGTTTCAATAATCGTGAGAAACGCTTCTACTTGACTACCGTATTATTATTAACTTTTTCTCGGCAATTGTGATCAGGTTTGAATCCTCCAGAGCAATTAGTCGCATCTTGCTACCAGATCCGGATGCTTCAACAATAGTAAGAAACGCTTCGAGTTGACTACCGTATTATTGCGTACTTTGTTTTGGCAATTAGGATCACTTTGAATCCTCCAGAGCAAATAATCGCATAGTACTACCTACTGAATCCGGATGTTTCAACAGTGAGAAACGCTTCTAGTTCACTACCGTATTGTTGTGTACTTTGTCTTGGCAATCAGGATCACGTTTGAATCCTCCAGAGCTTATATACGGCCGGGCACAGCCATTTTTGGTGTTGAACCTTGTGTACGGCCGGTCGGAAGCCTCGTAGATGGAAAAAAAGGCCGAAGTTGGATATGATGTGATACTGGGTATGGTGTCAAGTTGTTGAATTCTTGGTGTTTGAGAATTTCCCCCTTTTTTTCCAGCAGCTACTGCATAATTGTAGAGCTCTTTCACTTACTACTATGTGAATCATCCAGAGCAAATGCTCGCATAATAGTACCTACCAATTCCGGATGTGTTATCAATAGTGAGAAACGCTCCGAGCTGACAACCATATTATTGCTTACATCTTGCCCTTCTTGGGACGCATGCTTTCCCAATACATAGGTAGTATCTCTAAAATTAATAGTGGATAAATGCAGGACAAATTGCGGCCCGTGAAGTACTACTGCATTTGGTATATTTCAACAATACATAGAAATGATTACCTTCTTCTTTGAAAGGGAGGGGGGCAAATTTCGCTTGCTCACCGGACCTGCTGGGTGTAACCTCATATTTGCTTACCTGCATGAAAGGCGGAGACGAGTCGAGATATGGGAATGCGGCAAATCTCCAAGTGGTTCATTATCAGTACCTTGGACAAGACGAAAACAAAATATGCGACGGCGAGGCATCTGAACTCGGGACCGAGATGGCATATCTACCATAGCGCGTAGGCCGGGTTTGTGAACAGTACTCGGGATAGAGTTTGGATCAATCAAATACTATTACAGTAGCTCAACAGCCTGTTTTCTGGCTCAATAGCCTGTCATCTAGGTAGTCAAGCAGGCCCACGTGCTCTTAGGATCAAAGCCTTGCTGGTAGGCTAATACCATGTTAAGACCAACAGCCTGTTGGCTGTACAACTGCCCGCTCTCTCGCGCCTTGCTTCCTACTCAAAAAGGCTGCTGCCTTCAACCCAATTCCACAGATTACCGCAGCCCACCCACCTAGCTGACTCTTTTGTCTTTGTGATAAGCAACAGCTGCGAAGCCGACCAGGGTGTCTCTCGCGACGACGAGAAAGAGCTGCAGGCATGACCTAGTTGTCTCTCGTCAAGACGAAGGATCGCTGTGTTGCCGACCAGGGTGTCTGCTGCTGCGACAGGTAATTGCTATGAACCTGAACTGCCTGCCTGCTATTATTAGAATTAACTTATCTAGCTGTAGCCGTAGCCCTAATCTAAGAAGGAGCTGTAGCTACGACAGCAGCCCTAATAGTGTATAGGACTTCTGACAGTCTGTTGGGCTTCGAACAGTATAGCAACTGTAATAGCCAAAGCATCTGAAAAGCTGTTAGCCCTCTGATAGCCTTGAAAAATAGCCTTGAATGTCCAGAACACATACTATCAACAGTAAACGTTTTGGTCATGGTGTTGGCGCTTGTCAGGATATCCCCAATACTGTCTACAACCCCTCCTGAGCTACATATTGCGATGAAACGTCTCCACTCGAATGGAACCGAGTTTTCGAAGAATGTCTGCTTAAGGTTGAGGCGGCTAATGTGTTGTGATATCGGGTATGGTATTAAATTGTTGAATTCTTGGTGTTTGGAAATTCTCCCTCTTTTTTTTTTTTTTTTTTTTAGTAGCTGCCACATAATTGTCTAACTCTCTCACTTACTAAGGTCGAGACGGTAGAACCACTTCTCCCTGAAGTGATGCCTTAAGTCCTGCAGTGTAGGCATCGGCCAGTCGAAGCTCAGTGTCACCTTGTTGACTGGGGTGGCGTCAATACAGACGCGGACGTCACCAGTCGACTTTGGGGGACGTGCACTGCGTTGACCCAGGCGAGGTCGTGTGGAGGAGGCCAAAGCGTCACCCGATCTTCCCCGGAAAGGGAGGGAACCCTTCTTACTTTGCTGAGCGGCAGTTAGCCGCACGGTGCTCCTTTTTTATCTTACTCATGTAACCATCATCACCAAAGTGTCTCAGGCCCATGGACGCCGGCGGATGACAGGAGGCTGTGCTCCTCTCAGCTTCTATGGGCATTACCTAGCGTTGTTAATTACCTGAGGCACGAATAGTTGAGTCATGCAGATGCGGACAGATCCGGCTATGAGCACCCTATTGTTCGCTATGTACGCACATTGATATGACGCGTCTGAGACCAGTGGTGCATAATGCGTTATGTCTTTGTTCCCAATAACTCCGCAACGCAGCTTCTGAACATGGTTGAGCCGTTTAGTAGGAAAGCTATTGCTAAAGCATTCTTTGGCCTCGACATCACCGACTCTGAGCTTTGCGTTAGAAGTCAACACCCGCAGGCTAAGACGCTGACCTAATCGAAGTAGAAATCCTTACGACTCGACTTACCAGTCGAAATTCGACTTGGGATATATGACCTGCTTCTCGTTAGCCGGTTCGACCGCCGGGACAACTCATCCTAGTCAGTTTGGAACACTCATCAGAAGTTGGTTATGCTGGACTTCATCTAAGCTCGACAGTACCGAACGATGGAGTCAGCTGCACTACAGGTGTGCAAGCAGATTTGCCTTGGGGCATCTCGATACTTTATTCGCGATCAACCATCCGGGTTTAATATTGCGGCTCATAGTTCAGATTGGGTATACGAACACGAAGCTGATTCAATCTCTGGATATCTATATACCGCCGAACGTCGACAACAGTTGTTGATTGAATCTACTCCGTATCATCCCCGAAGCCACTGCGGGTATAAAGAGTGTGGAGGTGAGATAACGGGGCGGGGGCGTTGAAAAGACCTGGGAACGAAGTTTGGGAAAGATAGCACACCTGATAAAGTTGCTTTTACCTTGTGACGGGCCAACACCCCCTTTTTTTTTGGATCACCGAAAGAATATGCCATCATTACTTGAGAACTTGGGGGCCGGGTAGCACTCGAGCCACACTAACATGACATCGTGGGCCCCACGAAAGCACTCCGATCCTTACCAATGTTCGACTTTAAGCAGGATGGAAAGCCAAGGAGTGGACCCTTGACAAATCAACGCAGCTGTTGAAAACAAATCCTGTGTCGGAGTATCATACAGCCAATCAGTGAAAAAAGCCTCAACGATGGTTCTCTACAGCTCCTGTAGGTTCTGTCATGTTAGTGTAGTTTGAGGATCACACCATCACTCAGTCGAATGGCGCATGTGGGGCTCATCGCCATGCCTGGACGACTCAGAGTCGTGGGCAGGGATGCGTGTAAGCTAGATTCGGAATCGTGGATGAGGTGATGGCCTTGATGTATCCTCTAGGTTCCCTTCTTGCGAGTCTAGATTGTTATCTCAGCTCAGGGCTGGAGAAATGTATAAAGAGGAGAGCTGACCCCCTTAATGCAGTACTTCGTGGTCTCACCTTTGCTTTCAAGAGCTGCCCCAGCCTGGGATCTTGAAGCCAGCGACAGAAAATGAGAATTGGCAGAACGATCACGGTAGTGGCCGCGCTGGCCTCAAATGTAGCTGCCATTGGTTTCGACTTCAACGTCCAGATCCCCCTCGATGGCAAGACTTTAAAGGAGCAGCACCAGCCCGATAGGAAGAGCAGCCGGCCTAACATCATCTTCGTTCTTACAGATGATCAAGATGTACACATGAACTCGTTGGATCACATTCCTCTAATCAAAGAGCGCCTCATTGATCAGGGAACGCTCTATAAGCGCCATTTCTGCACTACTGCCGTCTGTTGCCCTTCACGTGCTTCCTTGTGGACGGGCAAGCTTGCACACAATACCAATGTGACAGATCTCTTCCCGCCTTATGGTACGCTCTATTCATGTAGCTCTGTTCAGCTCAAGACTAATATTGCCTGCAGGTGGATTTCCTATTTTTGTGAAGAACGGCCACAATGAGAATTATCTTCCCGTATGGCTACAAGACGCTGGCTACAAGACTTTCTATGCCGGAAAGATGTTCAATGCGCATACGATATGGAATTATGATAGCCCCCATCTCAAGGGGTGGACAGAATCTGTAGGTTTCGTATACAATGATAACTCGTAGTGACTCCCAATTAACGATATTCCCAGGACTTTCTGCTTGATCCATCCACCTACGACTACTGGAATGCTACATTCCAGCGCAACAAGCAGGCGCCTGTGAACCACGAGGGAGAGTACTCCACAGATGTTCTTGCATCCAAGGCATACGACTTCCTTGATGCTGCCGCCGAAGCTGGAGAGCCCTTTTTCCTGGCCGTTGCGCCCATTGCCCCCCACAGCCATATCAACAGTTCCAATCTCGTTGGTGACATTGATGACCTGGCTCCTGGTGTCAAACTGGCCGATTACCCTCAGGCTGCAGCCCGCCATCGCCATCTTTTCAAAGACGCCAAGGTCCCTCGAACGGAGAGCTTTAACCCTGACAAGCCTTCAGGGGCTGATTGGATCCGTCGACAGCCCAAGCTCTCTGAAGCGAACATCGAGTACAACGATGGCCACTACCGTGGCCGGCTGCAAGCTCTCCAGGCTGTTGACGAACTTGTCGATGGCCTTTTTGAGCGACTGGAGAAGCACGATATCCTTGACAATACATACATTTTCTACACCACCGATAATGGGTACCACATTAGCCACCACCGGTTGCAGCCAGGAAAAGAGTGCGGCTACGAGGAAGACATCAATATTCCCTTGATTGTGCGAGGGCCTGGAGTACCGAAGGGGGCTGTTACCGAAGCAGTAACCGCCCATGTTGATCTTGTCCCTACAATCTTGACATTGGCTGGTGCACCTCTCAAGGCAGACCTGGATGGCTCGCCAATTCCTCTGTTCCCGGAGGAGTTTGGTTCTGAAGCTGCTCTTCGTCGTGAGCATGTCAATGTAGAATACTGGGGATGGGCTGCTGGCGAGGGTCTTTTCGGCTTTAACGGAGTCAATGATACAAAGATACAGAACAACACATACAAGGCATTGCGTGTCGTTGGCGGCGAGGAAGGGAACCGATATAACCTGTATTACTCTGTCTGGTGCACTAATGAGCACGAGCTATACGACATGACGGTATGTGCGAAATGTCATCGCAAAGCCTATCTTGGTACTAACTTGGGAAAACTAGAACGACCCTGGCCAGTTGACCAACCTGTTGCACCCCGATGAGGCGGAAGCGGCAGCTGGTGCTACTATCCTAGGCTTCCCTCTCAGTAAGGTTGTTCCACGACTAGACGCTCTTCTCCTTGTGCTGAAGTCCTGTAAGGGCTCTACGTGCTCTCTCCCATGGAAATCTCTACACCCAGAGGGCGACGTTACTAGCCTGCGTGAGGCGCTTTCGCCTGTTTTTGACCAGTTCTATGAGACACAGGCACGGGTTGAGTGGTCATGGTGCAACCTGGGACATGTAGTGGCAGCAGAAGGTCCTCAGTTTGAGACAGACGGGCATGTATACTGGAAGGGCACGGGATGGAGCGAGTGGACATAAGGGTGTGGTCTGTTACGTATCTGGGCTTGTTGACGTCCTGTAAATCTGGCAACCGCACGGTGTTTGCCTGACGGTCAGAATCTGAACTTGCGTAGCTCTAGCATTTACCATTACTCTACTTGAAAGAGATGAGAATTCTCAAGGAACTTTAAACCAGTCTTATTGATACATTTTGGCGGCAGAGAAATAGAAAGAATAACATTGAAATTGGCATTGGCGATTGGCACATACACGTAATATTGCCCCCCACACTTAATAGCACCGACTGAGAGCGACGTCCTCAACCTGTTACTGTTGAGTAGTGTAGTTAAGGCACTTATTGACAACCACAACGTATTAGTACCCGTTTTCAAGAAGAAACGGCCACATTAAATTAACTTCACCCCCAAGATGTTATAAAGGTCAAGCTTTGAGTGAATTTTCTCATTCAAGAGACGGCGACGAGGTGAATTGTCACTGCTGATGTCAGCATAGTTGTTAAAGGTTAAAAGCAAGACTTCCCTGAAAGCTAAAGAGCTTCGTATGCATGGGTGATGCCAGCCTCGAAATTATGGACATAGTTCAATAAGGGCAAAGCACAGAGAGACTGATTGGTATTAATCGAGCCCTGAGTATACAATTCACTCATTGGTCTTCGGACTTACGAGAATGCCGATCAATGAGGACGTAAGCGGCTTTGTTGTTTCAACCATGGCTGGCTCTCCTGCAGCATTGCGTCAAGAATGGGTCTCATATATACATTTTCATGTACTGTCCCACTCTGCTCCTGCAGAATTGAGAATATTTCGCCCAATTGTCCCTTGTCATCTCTTTTTTTGGAGGGTCCTGCACTGGCTAAGTCCGGTTCGGCCTGGCTTTAAAGGGCGCATCCGATCGGCACGGAACATAAGCAAATGCCGATGTCGCGAGCCTCTCGTTTAAAATACGAGCCTGCTAGACTCTTTGGATGTGAATCTGGTAAGTAGGTCAAGTTTAATTGGTTATCAGTAAAGATCCTGAAGCAGACATTGCGCGTATTGGGATGGCTCAAGAGACCAACAAGGAGACTCCCTTGAAAGTCCTCGTTGCTGGAGGAGGTAAATGCGTTCATCCCGCTTGTACACAAGTTACACCGCTCAATGCTTATGTTATCCAGGAATCGGTGGCCTCGTAGCAGCATTGGGGCTACGCCAACAAGGTCACGATGTGACAGTATGTAGACCGTGCCATTCTCCAAGTCGGAAGTGGAGCTAACAAACATAGGTTTTCGAGAGAACAGACCTTGCAAAAGAGTTCGGAGCCGCTATTCACATTGGCCCCAATGGCCACGGTATTCTGAAAAACCTTGGGATCTTCCCCGAAGAGCTCGGGGCTAATCAATTTGAGAAAGTAAGTCGCATCCCCAGGAGCAAACGACAAGATTAAGCAAATTTTAATCAGCTATAGTTCGCCGACTACGACGCCCAAGGCGAACTGAAAAACCTCATGGACTTGTTATCCCTGGATGTGTGGCCGCATGTAAGACCGAGTGTGTTCGTGATTGAAGAAATTCTCAGCGCTGACGCTAGCTCGCTCGATCGCTTCAGAAATGGGTCGGCTGCCATCGAGTTGCATTACACGAAAAGCTCAAGGAGAAAGCCATTGCTTCCGAGGGATCTGGTATCCCAGTAACGTTGAAAACGGGCAGCATTGTCGTGGATGTTGACCCTGGATCCTCTACCGTGGTTCTCGAAGATGGCTCCAAATACACAGGAGACATTGTGCTTGGTGCGGATGGAGTCAGCGTAAGTGAAAACTGGCTAAACATGTCATTTAGTTCCCAGATGCTGATACTTTTAGTCCAACACACGTAAAATAGTAGTCGGACCCGAAATCAAGCCTTATGGCTCAGGAAAAAGCATGTTCCGATTCATGATTCCGCGAGAAGCTATTCAGAAAAACCCCCGAATTGCTCACTTCGCCCAGTATGATGGATGTATGACTTCATGGCACGGAGAAGTCTGCCGCCTCGTCATGTACCCTTGTTCCAACAATACTCTGATGAACTTTGGTGCCATCCATCCAAATTCCATGTCTCCGGCCAAAGGCGAAGGTGAATAGGGACCGCTCATTACACAACCACTCATTTATTTCTGGAAACAATCAGCTGCTAAGCCCATATTTAGGTTGGGATCAGGGCGCGAGCAAAGAGAAGCTTCTCGAGGTTTTCAGCGCCTTTGGACCCCAGGTGAAGGAAATGCTTGATCTGGTCGATAGCAGCACGCTGAAGGTATGGTCTCTACTAGATATGGACCGAATCCCTCGATGGTACAAAGGGAGATTGGCTCTTTTAGGCGACGCTGCACACCCGTTCATGCCCTGTAGGTCGACTACACTTGTTAGGTTTCTTTCTCTTAAACATCGCTACTAATTTGTCATCATTCATAGATCAGGGACAAGGCGGTAGGTAGTGGCATTGGACTTTGACATCGAACAGTTGCTAATATGCCGTAGCTTGTGTTGCCATGGAAGACGCGGCCTCTATAGTCGCCCTCCTCCCCCGTGGGACCTCCAAGGATGATATTCCGGAACGGCTGGCTCTATACCAGAGCATCCGCGATGAGAGAGCTCATCATATTCAAGCATCTACAAGAAGGTCTGGCCAAGACCTCGGCGAAGAAGAGAAACGGCAGGTTGATTGTCAGTATCCCTCGGTCTATTTTTGTTGTACCCGCTAACTCCCCTTTAGGGAAGAACTCTTGTCAATACAACTTCAACCATGATGAGTGGCAGAATTCTACAAAGGTCCTCCAGGAACATCTCCGAACTCGTACTGGTCCAAGGATTTAGGAGCGCAGTTCCTCACGTTTGGAATTGAATTTGTAATTCAAGCAGGATATTGAAGTTAAAAGTTTCGCATATATACGAGTCTTCTTATTACGAAAAGCTATTCTAAAAATTATACGAATTTCTGAGTCTCAATGTGGTTGAAATAATCTATCAAATATAGTAGTCTCAAATCACTGTGCGTAAGTATCTATAACAAGATCTATCCAGCCATAATAAGAGACACGGTGACATCGTATCATCCAATCGGGATAGCTGGTAGTGAAGTTGCAGCCAAGTGCCAAACACCAAATTTCCGTTCCGAGGTGTTGACCATACTTCTGAAGACAGCAATAGGCATGGACCCATACGATACATCATTTTCATACCTGGTATCACCAGGACAGACTCAACCTTGCGGGTGACATTCTTGAATCACTCCGGCTGTAAATCTCACTCAACTTGTAAAGTGCATGCACCAGAAACGGTCGGTAATAAAGCCAATGACAGCGTTCCTCGGGACTTGCCCGAGGAGTGTGTCCGCTTTTCTCGCCGGATACCACGGCTAGAGTGGTGGGGGGGTGTAACTTCAAAACTCTACAGTGTCTTCACCGCTTCCAAGATGTCGGGAGTCGACCGAGAAACGAAAGTATCTGTGTCATGATCCGAAATACTGGGCTATAAATATTTGTTACCATCTTTGATAACCCTTAGGTCTTGTTTACGGAGAGCGAATCAAGGGCCATCACAAGGATTGAACTCATTTTAAGAATGACTAGATTATTGCACAGGCGCTCTCTCTATATGCTTTTTACATATATCATTACCGCCAGCTATGCGATTGTTTCGGCATTTCCCTCAAAGTACACAAGACGGGGAGGGTCCTGCGATAAGGCCGACTCTCGGACTCCCGATAACTCATGGGATTCTCACCTACACGTGTTGAATCCAATCGACTACCCAATAGAAGAAGGATCAGAATATACTCCTGGAGTATATACCGTATGGGATAATGCCATATTCGAAAAGCGCTTGGGGCCTGAGCATGTAGTCCTGATCCAGCCATCCATCTACGGCACCAACAACACGCTTCTGCTTGAATCTCTCCGAGCCTACGGACCAGACAGAGCACGTGGGGTTGTTGTATTTGATATTGAAGATATTTCAATGGCAAAGCTCAATCAGTGGCATGTATGGGGAGTCCGCGGCGTACGAATCAACTTTCTGTCCACCGGTCAGACTCCACCCGCCGATGAGCTGGAGCGAACCTTGAGTAAATACTCCAACATGGTCAGATCACTCGGTTGGGTTGTGCAGCTATATATCTCGATGGACGGTATTCAGTTGATTGAAGATTTTCTTCCTACTCTAGGAGTGCAGATCGTGTTCGATCATATTGGCGTCCCCGATATTCCAAAACAGAATTCGACCAAGTCTTACAACCCATCGGATATCGCCGGGTTCGACTCCATGGTTCGGCTGCTGCAACAAAACGTCGCTTGGGTCAAGATCTCAGGGCCATATAGAATTTCGAATGTTCAAGGGCCAATTTATCATGAACTGGATCCGCTTATCCTTGAGCTATTCCGGGCCGCTCCCTCAAGACTGGTTTACGCCTCGGACTGGCCTCACACAAGATTCGAGGGCCTCGATATCAGACCATGGACAAGCCATCTCCTTGAACTTACAGAGGGTCAGGAAAGCGTTAGAGAAAGTCTCTTCAGAGATAATGCTATAGTTCTGTGGCAGGCGGAAGATAAGTAGCTCTAACATTAAATGGCATCACAACATTTATAGAAGACTGTAGAAGGGCACTTCATCTTGGACTACATCACTAGTGACTCCCGATAGGAAATTGGATGTTCAAGTCAAGTATAAGGAACATCACTAGTCAACCCTTCCAAAAACTAAGACGTATCAATGACAATAAGCAACCTCGGCCCTAACGATATTACAGTCAGTTTCCGGGCACGTCTTCGGAAAATCTCCGTGCCAGTCGGACTGCACCTTCCCTCCCCACTCCCCGCTTCACCCTCCCGCTCTCTACTTTATGTCCCTCAACTGCTCTACCAATCCTGCGTAGACTTTGTTGCTCATTAAGGATACGTGATATTTCCAACATGGACGAAACACAAAAGAGCATCATCGAAAGGTTGCAGCCTTACACGACGTAAGCCCTCCCCTCTCAATCCCATCCCAGTGGCATATTACTCTGCTCACACGATATTTCCCTCTACTCTAGCTGCGATGTCAGTGACGCGCTCTGCAAGCTTAAAGTTACTAATGGCGGCTTCCTATCCGGACTCACCATGTGGTCACCTGTCAGACAAGAAGGGCAAACCAAAATCATCGGCCCAGCATACACGGTGAAATACGTGGCTGTGGACTCCCCAGAACCCAAGCTTACTTCGCACTATGTAACTGTTGCCCGGATCAAAGTAACAGAATATCTTCCGTATCTAATCCAATATTTCGAGTATAGATCGATTCAGTGCCTGATGGCTCCGTCGTCTTCGTTTCATCTCCGAAGACGCCGAATGCTGTCTACGGTGGTTTGATGACGCACCGAGCCCGTGCCAGAGGCGCGGTAGGTGCTGTCATTGATGGGAGATTCCGTGATCTCCAGGAGCATCGTGACGTTCAGTTCCCGGTGAGCAAAACTGATTCCCAACACCAGGTATCTTTGTCGCAAACCACTCACCAATTTTTCTCCTTCATAGATCTTCGGACGCGATGTTGGCACGTCTCCGCCTTATGAAACTGTCAAAGTCGCCGCTATAAATGCTGCAGTTGGATTGCAGACGCCTGACCAAGATATTACTATCCACCCTGGAGACTACATAATTGCCGATCTCAACGGCGTCGTTGTCCTACCGTCTGATCTGGCAGAGAAAGCTATTCCTCTTATGGCCAAACAAGTCGAGGCAGACACTAAAGTTATGGAAGCCTTGGACAACGGAATGGGTTTCACTGAGGCTGTTAAAAGATTTCGATGAAATTTAGCTCATCCTGAAAGTCGACATGACACTGTCGTATCGTTCATAGTTGATCTTCGCAAGAGAAATTTCACACGCATCTAGGTTTATGAGATTTTTTTTTTTTCGTCAAGTTTAGTCTAGGTAGTTGTAGCTATACAAAGAGAGGCTTCACTCCTTTCCATTTGCTGCCTTCTTCGCAATTCCCTCCCGGACGCCCGGCAGAATGTATCTTCCATAGTCGACAACATCACTGAAGTTATCGTAGCCTCGAATAGAGATCAACGAAGCTCCAAGGTCAACATAGTCGAGGATGGAGTCGATAACGGTCTGGTATGACCCAACCAGAGCGGTCGAAGCTCCGCTAGCGTTCGTTGCTGTCACGGTGGGATACCACAGAGCACGATCTTGCACCTCGCCGCGCTTGGCAATGTCCAGAAGTCGCTGCGAGCCCACATTCTGAGGGGTGGCGGTATTTCTAATTCTATGCAGATCCTTCCCGGAGATATTGTTCAGAGCATCCAGGGTCTTGTGTGCCTTGGCCCAGGCCAAGTCCTCTGTCTCAGCAACAATGGGACGGAAGGTGACCCAGATTCTGGGCCGGTCAGTACGGCCAGCCTTCTCTGCCTCGGCATAGATGCGATCGATCTGCTGCTTCGTTTCCTTGAGCGGTTCACCCCAGAGACCGAAGATGTCGGCAAGTGAGCCGCCAATACGGTAAGCCTCGTCAGAGGAACCGCCAACGGACACTGGGATCGTTCCGTTGGTCGGTCGCACGGAGTTGCTAAAGTCCTTGAACTGGAAGTATTTTCCGTCCCAGTCAAATGTGTCCTTAGACTCCCAAGCGCGGCGGAGGATCTTGATGTACTCCTCCAACCGTGCGTAGCGCTCATCCTTAGCCAAGAAGTCTCCCTCTCGTGCCTGTTCGGCGTCGCTACCTCCGGCGATAAAATGCACAACGACACGGCCCTTGCTCAGTTGGTCGAGAGTAGCGAGAGCCTTCGCAGCAACGGTAGGGTACAGGGTGTTGGGGCGAACAGCGATAATCACTTTGAGGTTCTTGGTGACATTGGCGATTGTGGCACCAATCGTCCAAGGGTCGAATCCAGAAGACCAGTATGGAACAAGAGTGTAGTTGAACTCATAGTCATCTAGAGATCGCGCATATCGGATCAGGAAGTCGGGGTCAACGCCAGCACCCGGGATAGGATGAAGCTCGCTCGACGCATTGGGGAATGCGGCACTGATGAATTCCGTGGGGGGCGCCATTATAATAGGAGTTTTTAGAAGGGTGAGGAATTGAGAATGATACCTAAGAGGCTCATGATGGCTGCTCTCCCTCTCTTAAGCAGTGCCGAATTGAGGGTAAATGCAACTCTATGCTGCTATTACGACATCTGGAGAAGAATGGCGTCTTCCTTGTTATCGTATGGCGATATCGGTCCGCGGCAATAAACCGTTAAACAGCCTCATACCAAAGTTCATGCCTCATGCAAAGGGTTAATTGATTGATAAGCAGTCGAAACGGGCGTCTCGAGTGTGACCCTTTCTTCCATCTAGACCGGCGTCCATTGGCTTGCCCTACTGGGGCTGGACCCTTTGGGGCAGATCGAACGATTCTCCCCACTCAGTAGCTGGTTGCGTGATCACGACCCGAACTCTTGGGGCAGATGCGATAAACAACTGCCCGAATGGCAGATTCCTTCGGCCTTGCGCCATAGGTATTGTAAATTTTACATTCCTATTCTTCTTCTCATCGATAAGTAGTGAGAAAAAGGGCCCTCGGCGAAAATATGACGGGAATGATGCCGTCTCGAGATAGTTAACATTTGAGTTAGAGAGAGGAAATCGGAGGCAGAGCAGATGACGCAAAAATTTACCCGGATCCCGCCATGTGGGATAATGATCTGTTTCCCCACGATGCATGTGCCGTAAAACCCGCCGATTGGAAGTGACCAGATAGTCTTGTAACTAACAGAGGAAAGGTAGTTGGAAAATAAAAGATAAGAGAGAACGTTGATGGAAGTAGTAGAAGATTGTCAGGTTATAGGGTAGTCGGGGAATGTTGACCCTGAAATTTATCCTACCTAGCTATAGCTAGGTAGGTAATAGGCTAGTGAATTTTGCTAATGAGTGAGCGAATTAGAAACTGCTACGAGGTCAATCATTACGATGCATAAATGAGCATAAACTATACACGCAGCCTTTAAATATTGGATGAGCTGGTCCGGGCTACAGCGCTGTAGTTGATCGCTTTTCTGTACCTTGCATGAAGAGCCCGCCCGATATAATGGCAATCGGTAGTCACAGCATTGGAAAAGGTCTAATAGCTCAAGCGTAGTTATATTACGCAAGTGTCCTCCAAGAAAAATTTTGCCCGTATAGGCGCCAATGAGCGGTTGAAACCGAGATGTCCGAATCGTGATCTCGTAGCTTTAGCCTAAAGATTTCGTCCAACGCTTCCAGGCGAACATATGTCATTGATCTCTTGTCGACTTGTTTCGAGCTGTTTTTTTCATGCCGTTTATCGACAAATTGTGCGCCTATGAGAGCCAAGTCAGATATAAAAAGCGCATAAGTCATGTTCATCTAAAAATTGATCTGAGAGCTGAGAATACCAAAGAGGCTTAGACTCTAAGCAGCCGTATAGCCGCATCACCATACATTCAGGATGGGGGAAATTAGGATATCCACCAGGTGACGCGTGTTTCTTCGTTCTTCAATATTCCCGGTGCTGATATATGAAAGTTGATGCATTGTAAGACTACACAACGACGACCACAAAATCCCAATTGCTTTCATTTATATTAACAAATAAAATATACATATATTGAACGAGACTTGATCCAGCAGAACCTCATATTACTTTTTTGCTATTGATGGCCAAGTGGTGCCCTGAAGGCTGAACCAAAAGCTGCAGGTTTCGTTCCTGTTCGATGTGCTAGTGGCGGCACTAGGATATCTCGGCAAGCATCAGATCTTCCATCTTGGGAGTTATTGGCTGACTGCGTTAGAGAATGGAGATCCAAGGCATTTGCCGACCCCTGTTTTTGTTTGTGTTTCTCCTTTCGACTAAACATTGGCCGAACAAAAGCCTCGGTGCCCCAAGGTATCGTGCATAGGGTTCTCTGTCACAGGCAATCGTCACTCGTTTTCAGTCGCTCATTCATAGTCACTCATTTCGCTCGCTTCTTCACGATGGTCTCCAAAGGTCTGTTAGCTCTGGTGTTGGGAGGTATTTCTTTCACTCGAGTGGAAGCCAGAGCCTGTATCAAGCGCAGCTCCAGCCTTTCTCTCACGGACCTGCCTTCACCAACGTCTTCCATCCTGAGTAATCCAACCCCTATCGTCTCTGTCTCAACTCCGGCATCCAGCGACATCGTCTCAACCCCTTCAACTACCGTCTCGCCGATTTCTGAGACTACCCCGTCGACAATTCTGGAATCGACCCCTTCCACCTCTTTCTCTGATCTTCCCGCGACTCCAATTATTACTCCCTCCACGGATGCTTCATCCACCACCCCGGTTGTCACTTCTTCTATTATCGCATCGTCTTCTACTCCGGAAGTCACTTCTTCTACCGTCGTTTCCTCTACTATTCCTTCGACCACTCTCGTAGCTTCGACCACATCGGCCGCTCCTGCGTGTACTCCGAGCAACTTGGTCTCAAACCCCAGCTTCGAGCAAGGCATCAGCCCCTGGGTCAACTTCCAAGGTGCAGTGGCTTCCTCGAGCGGAGCTGTCACCGCCAAGGACGGAAACTACTACTTGTAAGTCCACCAAATAAACAAACACTCCCCTCTACCCACCATGTGTTGGTGACTAACCTTCTGGACACCTAGCCTCGCCGCGCTTACCGGGTCCAACAATTTCATCTCCGTCCGCCAGGAAGTACAGATGGAAGTAGGACAAACATACGATGTCAAGGCGTACTATGGTCTGGGAGCCCATCAGAACTTTGGCTCCTCGGGTGTCTGCAACCTTCAGCTCACAATGAACGGCGACCTCCAGGGGTCTGTGATCAACTTGACGCCAACGACTGTCGGACAGTGGAACCTCTTCGAGAGGACCTACGTCGCAACCGACACTGATGTTATCATTCGATACGTCTTTTCCTGCTCCGGTATCACGAGCGTTGATGGTCTACTAGACCTAGTCACAGTTCCTTCGACTTGCCCTACGACTCCTGCCGCTGCTACTTCAGTAGCTCCCTCTCCTTAAATAATATCCAAAGGGTGCAACTTTGTATTCTTAGCCAAGGTAAGACAGAAGTGGGATAGTGCTCTAAGTATTAAGGTGTAATAATATTATTTTGGAACAGAAATCTACGAATATCACAATACTCTCCGATGATTTCTTCTTCCACAACCGATCTCTTCCCCTGACATATTGTGTGACTGTAAAATAAAACCGCGGTGTTGACTGCCGTTAATACCTATCTGTCAAGACCTATTATCAGTGTCCAAGTCGGATAGGATGCTCTTCGGGCATAGAAGCCTCGACAAACTCTCCCCAACCCTATAATTCACCACTCCTCCCTCTTCATAAGCGAGACTTATCCCCTTCCCGGGCCGCATCACGTACTCGGGCACTGGCTCCAACCCCTTCTTGACCCATTCCCAGCCATCGTCACCTGTACGCCTCTGCGCGACGTATTTCTTCAATGCCGCTGGATTGTATTCCAATTTTCGCCGGCGGATTCGAACGGTAGGATGAAAGTACTCGTTGGTTTCGCCATTTGTCTGGTCACCCGGGTCCTTTGGGTAGGCTCCTGGCGTCCGAACCTGTCTCCCAAGAAGCCACCAAAGACCGCCTTGTAAGCCCGAGAAGTTGCTTGCAATAGGCCCACAGCCCCAGCCGTCAGGGATTGCAATCTTTTCCAGTGATTTGGTGTGGTCCTCAATGATAGCGTTTATGCTGTCGTCTTCAAACGTGAGCATGCCCGCTAGATTGTCCACCTGAAATAAGAGGCCAGGAGTTAGCAGTGGTTAGAAACAGGTATCACGACATATGGAAAACTACCATCCATGCAAAGGAATTATAGCCCATTTCGGCGCCGGCAGAAGCAGGTGACCCGGTTTCCATACCGGCGACGTCCCCATGAATTCCAGGAAACCAGCACTGCTGTAGGTCTTTGGTGGGCCCATCATTAGTTCTATGCCACAGAGTCGGGGGGAAGGTTAAACGTCGTTCGTCGAGGGCAAGAGCCTGGAATGCATATTCCACATCTGATAGAATGGTTGTTTAGCATACATCAACTTAAATTCAGAGAAGCTTTCGGATTATACCCACTTGTCGACAACTTAGTGTCATGAAACGCATATTGTGAGTTGATACGAAGACCAATCTTTCTCGCCCATTTCACGACGGGCCATTCTGGGATTCCCTGGCAGCACATAAATTGAGCAAATTGAATCATCGTTGAAGCAACTCAAAACACGTACCAGAGCTCCAACAGTGTCCCATACACCCACTACCTTGACCTTCACGTTAGTCAGTTCTAGTTCATCCTTGTTATCCATATACCACTTCGATTCTCTGAAAGGTCGGCCGCCAGTGTTGGCACGGTACGCTTCCCACATCTCCGCAAAACGAGACATGTTCACTGCTGAGAGGACACCGATTTCGCAGACCAGCGCGGCAACAGAGCGCACGGTGAAGGCACCTCGCGACCAGCCAAAGAAGAATAGTTCATCTCCGGCCTCGTAATTGTTGGATATGAAATCATATATCTGGCATACGTCGACGTCCAATCCCCAGCCAAAGGTCCCTAGAGTGATAAACCCAAAAAGTATGAGAAAGGTCGTGGCGGGCATTTGAGGGCCAGAGTTCAGGAAAACTCACCGTAAAGAAGCTTTTGAAAGGGGAGATCTCCGCTCCCAAGGCCGGAATGGTACGATACGATTTGTTTAACGAGATTGCCTTGGTCATCGAGCCCGTTGTTGGAGATTGCACGAGCGAGTTTAGCAACGTTTGAAGGGAGAGACTTGCTGCCAATATCGGATGCTTGCCACGTCCCGTCCGCGCAAAGGATGATGCGCTTGTGGCTCGCCACCTTCCGCGTATTCTCAACCATGGTCGCACAAAGAAAAAGGTGATTTTACTCCCCCTTCAGGGCTGAGAAAATCCTGCGGCCAACCATCCTTATAGCAATCGGCTTGTCAGAGTAGGATTTATAGGTTCTTTTGATCTAAGCTGACCAAATGGTCACATGTCGACTACTCCAAATCTGACGAACCTTTGTCCTAAAGCTGAAAGTGAATGCTACTATATTCGGTCATGAGGGTGCCTCTCCGCGTGTAAGCTGAGACGGAGGCGTGTGCGCGTGGGCACATCAGGTGGTATTGGGATCTCGGCACCAATCAGGTCGCGATCAGCGCCTCGCCCTTCGTCCAAACATCTGGCCGGGGAATCTTCCGTTACGAGGGAGCAAATTGTCCGACTGTCAGAACGAGATCCTATGGGGCAAGGCAGACAACTTTTGCTAATATGTGACATCACCAGTCAATCTATTGCGACTCTAGACGAAGCCACCCCCTGACAGCCAGAGCTGAAATGTCTCACATGCTCAGCCCTCAAGGCCACCCAACATTCGTTTCTGTCGTTGTTTTCGCAAATCTTGGCTCGAAAATAATAAGATAATTCTAGAATTTATGACGTCGCCACCGAAAATAAACGAATAAGGGGAAGGCCTACGAGGCAAACAAGAGCGCGACCAGGAGATTAGACGAGACTGATCCAACTCTCAATCACGTGGAGTTCATTTAGCCGGACATTGCCAATATACAGCCCCTACAAATCACCACATGTGTTCAGACAGCAACAGAAGTCCCCTATACCAATCCATTAGTGTGTCCCGTGGCCCATCCATAGGTCTTAGCCCGGGCCAGATTTCCCCGCAATCGACAACCGCCCCTTCAGGTTTCTAATTTTGATAGTAGCCCGTCAAATCCATCCAATTGGGACACAAACCAGCTGCAGCAAGTGAAGATCAACTTGTTGACAGATCGATACTTAGCCCAAAATGGCGAGAATTATAGAAAAATCAAGATGGACTAAGTGGTTCCTCATTCTAAGAGTATAGACTGCCATCGTCACCCGTGCCTGGTTGTAGTCACATCTCCGTTTTGAGAGCTTGCTGCTATCATGCGCCCGTTACTCTGTTGAAGATCAGAATAAATGAGATAACGACTTTGATTCCACGGCGAGCTGATAGAAATCTTTAACACAAGATAAAATAGAAATAGCAGGCATATATAGGTGTATATATCTTTGTTAGAGATCAACTCTCAGCCGTATATCGTTAGCTACAAAATAATAAAACATGCCCTAACAAAATGCATTCCAGCCTTCCATAAGTGAGACATTGTGCGGCTCTTTGACTGATTTTCTGAGGCAAACTTGATGAGATTCTAACCACTGTATTGCCTGGCCGCAAGGTACGCAATACCAAGTGCCCCAACCCCAAGCACATATGGCGCCAAAGTCAGAGCCGCACTGGACATGTCCCTCTTGGCCTTCTCTGTTATCTTCGCTTTCAGAGCAGCAGCCTCATTGACCCTTGGGAACTCCACGTCCGGTACAGGCCTACCGAGGAATTCGCACAACGGCCCCCATCCCTCGCCCATACGGTATAGCAACAGCTGATCAGCCGGAACGCACTCCTGGATTTCGCGATGATGCCTATCGTATGCCTCTCGTGCTTTGCTGCGTGCTTCATCAACGTTCTTGGCCTGGAACAGCCCCAGCATCATTTTTCGCGAGGCTGGCCCAGCACGAGAGCCAAGAATAGGCTCAATAACATTGACGGAGAAGTTGGCAGCCGGACTCCAAAGTTGCTGCAGGACATTCTCATCAATACTCTTGAACCACTTGTCGAAGTCCCGGATTGTCAAGACCACCTTGGCATCCGGGTAAGCCTTAATGAGATGTGTCCCAAAGACAGAGGCCATGTCCGTAGTGGCCTCGTATGGCGCGTAGAGCTCGTTCCACTCCTCTTGAGTGAAGCCCTTGCCCGTGTAGCCAGGCAGGACGGGGAACGTGGCATCGGCAGCGCGATCAAAGACTCTCCAGTCTTCCGGCGAGTCGATCGCCTTCACACCGTGATAGACTCCGTCGTATCCGAGGATCTCCAGTGCTTCCGCTAGGGAAGCGGACCCGGTCCGGGGAAGACCCATTGCGAGGACTTTCATCTCCCGTTGGGGCCGAGCTTTAGTTTGCGATTTCTCCATGATTAACCGGCAAAAACAACGGCTCAACAAAGCAAATTATTATCAATCGTGAGCATTTCAGGAGGAGAAAAACCACGCTAGAAAAATCTTCTCGTCATCATCTGTTCGATCCTGGTTAGCTAGGGTCTAGTTTAGTGGGAGCCCTGACCGACACATTGTAGATGCTCGGACCGGCACAACCAAGACTCTTAACTTCTTTAGTCGCTTCCAAAGCCGGCGCTTAAGTAGACTATTCATTTTTTGGCTAAGGTGGCATAAGTCGAGCATACGCCTACCAAGTGATTCCCGATTGTCTCTCTAACAAGGGCAGAGATTGGTTATCGCCTTAGCAAAAGTCTCACTCTTCGAACTCCGATAACCGAAATTATCCCTAGCAATGACAACTCACCGATATCCGAGCCGCGATATCAAGGGTACAAGACTTCTCCACCCCGCGCGGCTATGAAGTCTAGTGGGAATGCATCTATACTCCAACCCTTGAATAATTCGACCATGGTGACTTATAAGGGGCCCCGGCTGATTATAACTAGCTAGTTATAATATAAGGAGGGAATACAGTAGGCTGTAAGAGATATATAGGAAAAGCTAGTTTACTAAGAAAATAATAAGGAATCTAAGTACTAGTTATATATATATATACCCTCTACTAGTAGTCCTAATATAAATAAGGTACTCTAGTATACTATATACTAATTTTAATAAAAATTCCTTTAGAACTACTTTCTATATTTTCCTAATAGCTTCTTATAACCTCTAGCTAGTTAGCTACTATAGATAATACTTTTAAATCTATTTTTTTATCTAAAACTATATATATTTAATAGGATTAAGATTAGAACTATTAGGAGGCTAGAAAATAAATTAGATATTACTAAAGAGCTTATAGATAGTTTTCTTTATCTCCTTTAAGATATATAAAGAAGTATTATCTTATTAAAGTATATACTCTTAGTATTTAAATTAGAATTCCTTTATAAAAGAAAGAATTTATTAAGAATAAGCTATTAAATTAATATTCCCCTATTTCTTATTCTATATAAAAGAAATATCTTTAATCCTTTTAGTAAAGTAGGCTCAGAATATCTATCTATTTATATATATATAAATCTTTCTAAATTTATAGATATTCTTATTTAAAGATATAATAATTAAGTTAATAAAAAGAAATTTAAATAGCTTTATCTAATAAAGAAGCTTATTAGAAAAGAGGATTATATAATAATAGCTACCTATACTATTAACCTAAGTCTTATTAGATTAAATCTACTTCTTTTAGTCTTCTAGTAGTAGGTAATTCTAATTAAGAGTAAATTAAAGCCTTCTAGTATAAGTTTTTATATCTAATTTAATTCTAACTAATTATAGCTACTATTAAACTCTAAGGGATTTAAAGGTATTAGAAATAGCTTTAAAAGAGAAAGACTTAAGAAGATTAAATAGTTTAACTTTAAGCTTTTTAAATATAAGGAAATATTTTAATTTCTATAGTATTTAAATAGCTTATTAAAATTATTATAAAATCTCAGTTAGAATAATATTATTATAATTACTATTATAATTCCTAGATATATTAGCTTAATATAATATATATTTTACTTAGCTAAAAGATATCCTGAGGTTAGAAGTAATTATTAAGAGAGATAAATCTATAACCTTATAGAATACTTTAATCTATATTTACTTATTATAGGAAGTAAATATAAAGCTAATTTCTTTAAATTTATATTCTTTAGCTTCTTCTTTATCTATATTATTAAATTTAGATTTAGTAAGTATTAGGGGGAAAAGTAATTATTAAGTATATAGTTAATATAAATCTTTTAGGGTTATATAAATAGTTATAAGATATATCTAGAGTTTCTTATAACTAAATTATACTAATTAGATTATAAAAGATTTATATAGAAGGAAAATACTTATTACTAGTTTATTATTACTAGATTAATAATAAAAGAAGGATTAAAATAATTACTTTTATTAGGTAATTTAAATATAGTTAGAATTAGCTTACTAAGGTTAATATAACTAATTAGGAGTATTATAGAAGTTAAAGAGTTTAATAGGAATTCTATAGGAAGAGATAATATTATAAGCCTAAAGTTATAGATACTACCTATAAGATTACTAGTTTTAAAAAGTAGTAAGTAGATAGTATTAATAAAATTAAAAGCTTAAAGAAATAAAATTACTTTCCTATTAAAATACTCTTTAAAACTATCTAGTAGGTTTATAGAATAGTAAATTAAAATATTATTTTAGAAAGAGTATATAAAATTATTATTTAGTATATTTATCTAAAGTTATACTATTATAAAGAATTTTAATTAGAGGGTATTTACTCTAGGATATAGTAATAAAAGTATATAATAGAATTAAATATAGAAGATTTTATAATTAAACTATCTATCTAAGCTTTTAGATCTAGAAAAATTATTTTATAGTTAAATTTAGTATATATAATTACTCTTATAATTTTAAAAATTAAAAATCTATTATATTTTTAGTCTAATTAGAAAAATTATTATTAGATATATTAAAAATATACTATTTTCAGATTTATAAGACTTATAATAATTATTAATAGGTATATACCTTAATATATCCAGAGTTTTCCCTACTACCGAGAGCCCCTGTAAGTCACCGTGGTCGAATTATTCAGGGGTTGGAGTGTAGAAGCTCTTCATACGTTAGAACTTAGACCTGTCAACTCATTTAGTGCCTGACTAGTGTAGGACAAATGACTTGGCTTATTAAGTTGAATTATTAGCAGTACCATTGAGCAGAATAGACATCAAAATAATCGCTTGCTTTATCGATTGTCTGGAAAAATCCTGGCTAAGCTATTGACGAGAGAGGTGCACTTGAGTATAGCATAAATCCAAAGGAGACAAACGGGGATTTCCGTCCTGCCCCTAGATAAACATAGTGAAGCGACTTGGTGGACTCAAGAAGTTCCAATTCCATATGTAGAAGTGTATTGGATTGTTTACGCAGAGTGATATATCGGCCTTGACTGACGTACAAACCTTGATGCTGTGGGATTTACCCTCAGCTACCTACCTTCTACAAGAGATCTAGTTACCTGAAACGACCACTTACTTACCCATAACTTCAATCAATAGCTGCACAAACTTCTGGCTTACCTCCAAGTTCCTCTGCATCTTCTCTGACTTGATCACGGACGTAGCAGGATACATACCTCTAGAGTCCACGCATTCTGGGTTCGCGCCTTGAGCGAGGATGACCTTGGCCAAACCAACTGCACCATGATGAGCTGCCCAGTGAAGAAGCGGCAGGTCACTACTCACCACTGCAGTATCGGAGGCAAACTTCTCCAGGGTCTGCTTGGTGCGCCATCCCCAGCCATGCGCATGCAGATTCTTATCCTTTCTCAAGGTCTCGACAGAAACCACCATCGAAGCACGAGCCTCAACATCTGCGCCACGGGACACAAGCTCCTGGGCGAGGGCTGCTGTGCCACCGGCCTCATCCCTGTCGAGATATGTTGCGAGGAGGTGCAATGGAGTGTACCCCTCATCTGTCGAGGCGAGTGAATTGGCCCCATGGCCAAGGAGGACCCGGGCCGCGCGGACGGCGAGCCATGATGACTTGAGCTTTGACCCGAATACATCACCATCTGCGGTCCTAGCGAGCGAGGATAGCAAAGGTGTCCAGCCATTGGCACTCACCTGGTTGACATCGGATCCGTGTGAGATGAGATACTCCATTATGTCTGTCTTACCGCCGGCCGCAGCCCAGTGGAGCAATGTTTCCCCGTGATTGTTTACCAATTTCGGCATCAGTTCCTTCTCGGTAGGATCCATTACGGAGAGGTAAAGGAGGAAAATGGAGAGATTGGAACCATAGGCAGCACTATGGAGGGGGGTGTTACCTTCATTATCACGGCAGCTGACCGAGGCACCCTTTTCAATGAGAAGCCGGATACCTGTATCATTCAGGCGAGATGACGGGGATTGCGATTTGACGTAGACCGGCGTGCCAAGATGATGGAGGGCCGTCTTCCCATCGTCGTCCTGGATGTTGGGGTCGGCACCTGTCTCCAACAACGCCTCGAGACCGCCGACAAGGTCACAATATCTACATGCGAATAAGATGGGGGCAGTTTGGAAGACTGCCCTCTTCATCGTCGCGTTTGGGTCTGCTCCGGCCTTGACGAGGGCTTTGATGAGCCGCTGCTGGTTGAGGAAATCGGTGCCGTCGTACTGGACCCCGCCACGCTCATCCTCGGCGAGCATGACTTTGAAGTTTACAGCCACATGTAGAACCTGCAGGATGATGTCCTGAGGGAACTCAACTCTGTCAAGGAACAGATCGACGACATCGGCGCGCCATTTGTTCGCAGCATCGAATAGGGCGCCCTGCTTCGTCGCCTGCGGCCAGCCATCCCACAGATCCAGGAGCAGGTCGACGATATGGGTTTGACCGTACATGGCTGCAGTGCCAAGAGCCGTGTTCTGAGAATATCGCTCAACGGTGCGGCTTTCCAGAGGCACGCTCTGCCACACCCTCTCCACGATAGCTGTGGCCCCGCGCCGGACAGCTGCGCCCAGGGGAGTCATGCCGTCGTCGGAGTGGGTGAGGAAGAGAGGGTCGGCGCCGGCCACGAGAAGCAAGTCTATGGCCGGCAGATTGTCGCACAGAACGGCTACGTGGAGCGGCGTGCCCCATTTGTAGTGTTCATGGTTGACCTCGTCAGCTGTGGCCAAGCCGAGGATGCGTCTCAGTTCAGGCACATTGTCGTCGCGGATGCTCGCGTGCATGGCCTCGAGCGGTCCGTCAAAGTCTTCCCGCATTCGGGACTGCACCTGATTGCCCATGATGGAGGTGTTGACGATTAAGCTGATGTTATGTTGCGGTTGAGGTATTTGTAGGGAGGAAATGTCGATGGCCAGTGTGGGACGGAACATCCCACATATATGTCAGCTTATATAACAGAATGTCGGCCAATGGCACCCTCTTTTCGTACGATGTCTGCCTCGTGACTGAAGTGAAGAACCGTAATTAGCCACATAATAGGAATCAATTAGCCAAATGGCTATTAGAAAAACAGGGATTACAAAATCATCTCGACAGAACTATTATAGGATAACAGACGGATACCAATTGCTGACAATTATTAAATAATTTACTATTACTATAATTATGAATTATTGCCTATTAGTACCGAAGCCTGTATTAGAAAATTGGGATTAAAACACCGCTATAGCCCATATTATTCTGACGCATTACTCTACAAGACTTAAACTTATGATAATCAGTTATCGAGTAATAGAGAAATTCCTTTTTTCTATAGCTAAATACTCGACAAGTAAGTAGAACAGTGATAGGAAACAAGGGCGAGTTGACTTGTCCCTGATTAATGTATTTACATCCCTAATTCGTCTATTTGCCCTTTTTCTTTGGAGCTGCCGCTGCTTTCTTCGGTGCCGCCTTCTTCGGTGCTACTACTTTCTTCGGTGCTGCTGCTTTCTTCGGTGCTGCTTTCTTTGGTACCGCTTTCTTCGGTGCCACCTTCTTAGGAGCTGCTGCTTTCTTCGGAGGGGTCGCTTTCTTAGGTACTGCTTTCTTAGGAGCTGCTTTCTTCGGAGGAGCTGCTTTCTTAGGTGCCGCTTTCTTTGGTACTACCTTCTTTGGTGCTGTTTTCTTTGGTGCTGTTTTCTTTGGTGCTGTTTTCTTTGGTGCTGCCTTCTTGGGAGGTGATGCTTTCTTGGAAGGTGATGCTTTCTTAGGTACCGCTTTCTTTGGTGCTGTTTTCTTAGGAGAAGTCCTCTTGGGCGCTGCTACTTTCTTGGGAGCTCCTGATTTCTTCGGTGCTGCTTTCTTGGGAGTAATTCTCTTAGATGATGCTGCCTTCTTTGGTGCCTGCTTCTTAGGTCCAGGTGCTTTCTTAGGGGTGGGCCTTTTGTTTGCTCCTTTCTTTGGTGCTTGTTTCTGTGCTTGCTTTTTTGATGACTTTTTCGGTGCTTGCTTCTTAGGCCCAGTCACCTTCTTAGGAGCTGACTTCTTAGAGCCTGCTGCTTTCTTTGGAGCCGGCCTCTTGTTTGCTGCCTTCTTCGGTGCCTTCTTTGGTGGTTGCTTCTTAGGCCCCGCTGTCTTCTTGGGAGCTGACTTCTTGTTCGCCGCTTGTTTCTTTGCTCCTTTCCCTGGTGCTTGTTTCTTGGGCTGCTTCTTCTTTGGGGTTTGCTTCTTTTGGCCCTTGGCCGATTGCTTACCGGGCCTCTTTGCTGACTGTTTACCAGCTTTCTTGCCAGGGCTCTTAGCTCCCTGCTTTCCCCGTGAGTTGCCGGATTTTCCGAGTGAAATCTTGGGAGCTTTCTTCCCTGCCGGCTTTCCTGTGCTCTTTCCAGGTCTCTTCGCTGGTCTCTTCGCTGCCCCTTTCCCTTGTCGGTTGCCGGTCTTCTTAGATGAATTCCCAGCCTTCTTGCCAGGTCGCTTCGCTAGCCCTTTTCCTCTTTGGTTACCTGCCTTGTTGGGAGGTCTTTTGGTAACCTTCTTCCCTGATTTCGTAAGTGGTGACTTCCCAGCCTTCTTCCCAGGTCTCTTAGCTGGTCCTTTCCCCCTTTGGTTGCCGGTTGCCTTGGATGATCTATTTGCACTTTGATTTCCTGGTTTCTTTGCTGGCACCTTGCCAATCTTCTTCCCAGAGTTCTTATTCACTTGTTTGCCTGGCCCCTTGGATCCCTGTTTATATCGCTGCTTGTCGGTTTTCTTGGCTTGTTGGTTCAAATTCTTTTTCCCAGCAGTTTTAGTTTGCTGTTTTCCGCGCTGCTTCCAGGGCATCTTGACAGCTATTTTGCCCTTTCTGACGCGATGCTGTGCCTTCTTGTTCTTTACATTCTTGTTCCTCGCGTTATTGTTCTTCGCGTTGGGTTTGCTACAGCCTCTCTGAAATATACCCCTCCGCTGAAGGCTGATACTGCATGACTCGCCGCCACCACCCATCGATCGGCTCGACTCGGTGGTCGGGGATGGTTGTGCCCCAACGGTCGGCGCTGGTCCTGATCCCGGGTTCTCCTGTTGCCAGCCCGAGACGACATTGTCACCCGGCGGCCGCTGCCATTGATGTACGGGATCCCCCGGTTTGGCCGGCCGCTGCGGGTACACGAAACCGTCAACGACGCTGTCGCCGTTGGGCCGCACTCGGTGGATGCCCGGCTCGTTCCCCGGAACATGGCCCGGGTTCAGTGCGTGGGGGGTTCGCTCGATCGACTTGAACTTGTCAGGCCGGCCGCCGAGCTGGTCGAAGGCGGCTTTGGCTTTGTCGACAGCTTCCTGGTTTGCGGCGTTCTGGACGTTTGTCATACCGTCTGCGCTAGAGATTTGCTGCACACGGTTCCTGAAATCACTGTCGTGGCGCATCTCGTCTGTTATGACATTCCGGTCGGGGGTGGTCACAATCATGTCCAGAGACTGCCCCTGCACACCTTTTGAATGCGCCCAGTTCCGCACGCTGTCCGCTTGTTGATCAGCGTGCCCAATTCCAGGGGAAGAGTGACTCTGGAACTTGTGCGTTTCACCCTGCTGGTCGGTGCCTACACAAGAGACGCTGTTGCAAGTTCTTAGATTTTCTGTTTTGATGCCCTCGTTCTGGTCAACAAATCCGGATTCATCTTGCTTGACTGTTTTCACTGCATACACAGTGGCAGCCAGTGTCATCCAGAAAAAGACCAACAAGTTCATGTTTAAAGGCGTGATGCATGGGGTGACTTTGGCCACGCACGAGTAGCAGTGTATCAGATGTTGCGAGGAATCTTGTTCCTTGGCGTGTATATGAAGTTTAAAGAGATGAATTACATCAAGGGGAAATCTTGAACAAAAGAAAGCAACAGATAAGAAGATGATGATATTGGAATGGTTTAGATCATAATCTCAGGCTTCCTCAACTCGGTTTACTTTTATACTTCCCTGGTTGACTTCGATCAGACTGCCCGTCAGCTTGAGGACCATCCACGATAGATCGCGTGAACCTGCTCCAGCACGCACCGAAAATAATATCCCCCATCCACGTAGCACTAAAAATACAAAAGGCTCGCCATGGCCAAAAGGCCCAAGACTAAGCGAGGCAATATTGGTCTTCCTAGTTGTGCAAGCTGAACTCTTGTTTTGTTAAAGGAACAGCACGAGTTACCGGAAAGGGCTGGATGGACCGGGCCTTTTGGATTTTTGGCTGATTATTTGGACCTTTGGTTAACACCGCAACCCAATTCAGCAGGACAGCCCTACGGAATACGCTGCCATGAATTCCCGGATAGGCGTAGCACTTGCCAGTAATTTGCTCCTTGGATGCGCAGCAAGCACTTTGCTAGATATTAGTTGATTAGCTGTGGGCCCCTTCCTGCATAATATGTCCTGATTATGCTGTAGCCTTCGTCTGGTAGAGCCTATTGTTGCCTCTCGTGTTCCGCTTTTTTGCTGTCTGAGATCAGCTATCCGAGCTCTCACACCCATGTGCCCATCCTTCAACAAATAGCTAAGCAAGTGGGTGAAATATCATCCCACGATATACTATTCATTGAGTTAAGTTGTCGGGCCCTAGCAGCTTCGTTGCTGTTGAACTTTAGTCTCTTTCTCTTCCGTATCCTACGATATACAGCTTAATACTATATTAATTACGGGGTCAATCATGTTGATATTATATTGAAACTGAACGCTGAAGCTTTTGGATGTGCCATGCTTATGTCAGTCGCTTGCTCAGCTTTATTCCATCGCTTCCTCCAGGATTTTGCTATTGTATCACCATGTCCGGCTAGTCAGCCACCTCTCCAGGCGCTGTAGCCATACTTCCAGATGGCATCCAGGGGTCTCAGGGTGCTGTATCAAAATACAGAAGCTCAAATCACATAATCACTAATATCACATCCTAAAAAGCTATTCTTACCTAGAAGAATAGATAGGTTAAACTATTATACCTTTGTCTGTCCGAAGCAACTTTGACAAGATTTATTTTCTTCTTCTTTACTGAATAAAAGCGACTCTTAGTGTGTGCAGAGGTAGTTCGATAGCATAACCCTTCCTCTAAATGTCCCTCCTTCATGCTATGCCATTCTATTAATGGGTACTCATGCTACTTTACTTGCTTACTCTACGGCTGATTCCGCCAAGACCCAAAAGACCTTTGTCAGCTTATTCTGGCAGTCGATCAGCTCACGTCCAGCCTGGTTCATCACTCCATCATATGGAGGGCTCACCCCAAATTCTTTCGGCCGCTGCAACACCATCGTGCGATCTAGTGCACCGCCCGAAACCAAGCCATAATTCTTCATTCCTCATCCCCAGAACTCGCTGGCATGCTGCAGAAATCATTCTACCAGCGCGACATGGAAGAGTATCAACCCCGCTTCCCGACGCTCAATCGCCAACGCCGCGCAGAGCAACAGAAGTCGGCCGAGGCCTCCTCGTTCCATCTGTTCCCCCGCCTCCCAGCCGAAGTCAGGCTGAGAATATGGGAGTCTGCTCTGTCATCTAGGAGGAGGCTCTTCACCGTCCGCCTAAGGGAGAGCTCGGGCACGTCAGGCGGCTACAGCCTTTCGGTCGAGCAGCCGCCCCGGATCAGCCCCCTCGTGCGAACTTGTCACGAGTCCCGGCAGGCTGTATGGAGATATTTCAGGCTCCCTATCCGTCTCGAGAACTCCAAGACGCTGTGGATCGCCCCAGAGAGCGACCATCTCTTCCTGCCCAAGTTCAGCGCCACGACCGGCATCTTTGTCAACTTCGTCAATGATTTGAGAGCAGCCGACCCCAATCGTGTCGGCCTGCTCCATGTTGCCTTCGATGGCTTGTGCGACAAGACACTGGCATCGTTGAAGGCGTTGGCGCCAGACCAGGACATCCCCGGTGATGCACTGGACACCTTCAAGGCCTGCGTCGCACGGTTAGAGTCGGTGTGGTTCGTGCATCTCCTACACATGGATTCCCGCGTCTGCAATGCCCTCCTCTCGGGTACCAGGAACAGAACCATAATGGGCTACAATCGCAGCATGCCCATCTTCCCCCACGCTGTCGAGTTTGAGCTCCTCGGCTCAGACCCTCGGCCGATTGAATCCAGCCTGAAGGGGCAGACGGTCTGGAACGATCCCAAAACCGCCGTCCAGGCGTGGGTCAAGATGGAGAGGAAGCTCGGCTTCCACAACAAGAAGCTCAAGGGCGGCAGGCAGCCCAGCCGCGAAATCTCCCACCTCCTCGCTATGACTGCTCGAAATGGCTACAGGCACATGGCCCCCCGCGAGGTCGATTCCGAGCAGACCATGGATGAGTTTCTGCAGCGCGAATTGGACATGCTGAAGGAGCATTTTGTCGATGGTGTTGGCAGTGACTGGCCCCAATTTTACCACCAGGAGGTCGAGGAAGGCAAGGAGTATCTTCTGTCGGCAGCAGGGTTTTGGGTTTTCCCGCTTGGAACCTTCAAGACGGTAGATAAATCGCATAAGACCGCGGTGTATAAGGATCTCAGCGGTCTTCACCCTGGAATTGGCCTGTTCAACCTATAACACAGACGCCTTTAACGGGGTGCATCAATACACCGCGAGATTAGTTCGAGCATATAGATGAAACAGCAATGGAAAATGTTAGAGCGGACATCTCAAAAAAATGAATAAGATATAGACGCATAATGGCCCAGCCAAAAGCGTGGGCGGCACGCGTGAACGCAGCAAAGCGGCGGAGAAAGGACTGGAGTTACTGGGAACAAAGTGCATTTTAATATCAAGGTCTTGATTTATTTCACCAGAACTACAGTTTAAGGACAACAATTTATAAAGTTGCAGGTATCATCAAGAAGAGTAACAAATTTTACACAATTTAGTCAATCTCAGAAGTTCGCCTTTTTCCTTCAGGGTTTAATTCAACACCGCCAAATCTAATGCCAGGCCTGCTAGCACACAGTTTCGCAAAACTCCTTTCGCGTATTGTCATATCATCTCCCATCTAGGGATCAATTACCGTGTTACTCTGAAAGGGTGTGCTTCCGTGTTAAACACATATTCGTCCAGGCTGATCAGGCTTGGCTCAGAAAACGTCAGGTAAAAGTACTTGAGTGTTTCGCCCATCCAAAACGATTCCATCGAGTTGGACTGGCTCGGCATCTTGCTGGGGTCGTTGATCTCCCAGACGGCCGTGTTGGCAAGCTTGGTCGCCGTCGCCTTCTCGATGGCGTTGAACATGTCCCAGGCGGACTCGACGAGGTCCTGGCGGCCCGTCACCCGGTACAGCACCATGACGCTCTCGATGGCCTCAGGTCGGAGGATGTATCGCGTGTCGGGGATCCGGGTGAATCCCTTGGGTATGTGCCCGTCTGAGATGATGGCGTCGGCATCAGCGTCGGGGGAGTCGACGCCCTTGTTATTGGCCTTGACCACTTCCTTCTTCCAGCGCCTCTCGTCCCACTGGCAGCTGGTATCCGAGTCGCAGGCAGCCATAAAGAAGAGCTCGGGCATGACGCCGTGGGGGAAGGCTTTGTAGGTATACACACAGCCGTCCGTCAGCTTCCCTGCAAGTTCAACATCTTTTGGCCTATTGAAGAGTCTGCCTCCGATGGCAAGCATTCCACCCACAAAGCACACGAGATGCTGGCCCTCATGGTCATTTATGACCGATTTCTTTCCGTTCTCGCCCTGAATCGTTTTCGCAGGACCAGAGATGAGAATGTCTTCGTTTGTGGGCGTCATTGGTCGGAAGAAATTGTACTTGGATGCGGTGTCAATCGCCTTCTCATACATGGCCTGGTAGACGGGAAGCCGGCCAGCCGTCATGGCAGCCATCTTTGGCAGATATTCGTAGACCGAATCGGCCATGGCGCCCAGAGTGAAGGAGCTGCCAATGTTGAACACTCCGTCCTTGGTGTTCACGACCAACGGCCACATGCCAGGCAACTCAGTTGAATCCTGCTGTGCCGCGAACGTGTCAGTGATGCGTTGGGCCGCATCAAACCACTTGTCGTCGCCAGTGATTTGCGACAGTCGTGTGAGCTCCATGCACAGACTGCCCACCTCAGCAACGAGGGTGCCAGAGCTGGAGTCTTGCTTCTGGCCCTTGATGGCTGCGTGCACGTCCCAGCGGGTGATGGGCATGTGGTTGGGCGTGTCGAAGGCCTTGTAGATCATCTCACCCACCTGGGCCGCCTTGCGGAGCAGCCGGGCGTCCTCGCTCAGGTCGTAGGCGGACAGGAAGCCGCCCAAGTAGCGGATCGTGGTCTCAAAGACGTTGATCTCGCGGAGGTTCGTGTACGTGAAGTCAATATTGTCGACAGCAACGACAGCCTCGGCAAACTCGTCGCGTAAGTCCATAATCCAAAGGGTGTCAAGCGAATCAACGAGGGTGGCAGCCCAGCCGCCAAAGGGGTTCTTGCGGCCGCCCGACACGGGCTCGAGCTCATCGGCCATCCAGGCATGCTTCTTGTACGAGGCCCAGCATCGTAGGAAGGTCGCCTTGACGGCCCGCTGACGCTCGACGCGCTTCTGTCGCTGGGCCTGCGACTCGGCAGGAAAGTTGGCTTGGATCTTGGGGAAGGTTTTGGGAGGCGTCCAGGTAGGGAACTTTTGTAATTCGCCCACGGGATAATTGACATTCAGTTTCCTCCAAAAGTCATATTCGTCTCGCCAGACGGCCTCATCGACCGGCCACTTTGTTTGTTGGGGCTGCTGCGTGCCATGTTGGGTAGCAAAAGAAGGGATGATGGCGTCGCGGGCGCCAGAACTCCAGAGATAGAAAAGCCCGGCCAGGAAGAAGGCAGATACAAGAAGCGAGCGCTTGCTCCTGAACACCATCTTTGCGAGATGGACGGGGGTTGAAATTGATGGCTGAGGTGATGCAAAATGCAGAATGATTGAAGGAAGTAGAATGAGGGAGGGACGCTGGAGGAGACCACTAACCTTTAGTGGAGGGAGAGCTATAGCAGCCGTCAACAGAGACGACCAACAACCGCCGCATGCAGGAGGCAGATCTGAAGGGAGGCCAGTGTTACATTTATGCATCAAACAGCCACTCAGATTGTCCCATTAGCGCCCGAAAACGCCCCCAAAAGCCGCTGGCGAATGGGAACTAAGCTGGCGGGCCGCCGGACAAGAAATTAGAACAAAGACATGTTCAACCAACAGACCGTATGATGATGAGTTATTCACACCGTAATATAGCCTAGATCGCCATACACATGCACAGTGCGGCCCCCAACCATACAACCAGCCGTCCAATTTCGTTGAGCAATTGATTAGGGGGGCATGCCATAATATACTCGCAGAGTGAAAAACATCTCGTTGTTTTACATCATGTGTGTTGGGGAAATCTTCGAGCATTGATCGCCAAAGTCTTGCGGTGGGCGACTACTGCCGTAACGTCTTTGTCAGTCCCAATTGCTCGGACTGCCTGTTACTTGAAACCACTCCTCCCCCATGGCCTTGTTCAGAGGCTGGCTCGTGCCGGTGGCCATCCTCCTTGCTCTTTTCCCCTCAAACTCATCCGCCGCGTGTTACTACCCCAGTGGGAAGCTAGCACCCAACGACACGCCCTGTCGAGATGACACCTCTGACTCTGTCTGCTGCGGTCAAGGATACGCTTGCCTCTCTAATGGAATTTGCCAGGCCACCGGAGCTGAATTGCTGAAGCCCGGGGCGACTGAGTTTGTCCGTGGCGGGTGTACCGACAAGACCTGGCGAAGCTCAAGCTGCCCTTCCTTCTGTGTTGATACCAATGTCGATAACCTCACTGGCGGAATGGGTATAGCCAAGTGCCCCAACACCTCCAAGGACATGTACTGGTGCATAAACAAGAATCAAGGGTCTGTCAACTGCACCGCGCAACAGAATGTCCTGTTCTTTCCAGGTTAGCGACCCATATTCTCCCAGCTCTCCATTCTCCCTCTACTCTTCGGTAAGTCGCAGGTACAACATGTACTAAAAGCAGTAAATAGGAACTCCCACTGCAATTACGACCATCGGTGTTTCTCCCTCTACAACTAGCCAAGTTACTTCAACAATCGTAACATCTAGCACCAAGCTGGATTCAACAGCGACGAGTACATCGGCAACTACTGCGACATCTGAAGCAACTACGACAAGCGAACCGAGAACGGGCGGTAACAGTAACGACAACGATAAGGGTCCAATTATTGGCGGGGCGGTTGGGGGAGCGTTTGCTATCTTACTCATCGGCTCGCTTGTAATCTGGCTGGTATGGAGACATCGTAGGAGAAGAGCTCGGACGATGCAGGAGCAGACCCATCAACTCCAAGAACAGACACCCAAGTCACCATATGAGACGCAGAACCTCACCGATACCCAGTCTCGCGGTCCCTACGAGGCCCCGACAGAGTCCTGGACCTCATATTCCCAATCCACCGGTCCTTTGGTCGAAATATCGGGAGCTCCAAGGCCACAAGAGATGCCTACTTCCTTTAATATGCGATGACAGGGATATGCGATGATAAGGGAAGAGGATATGTCGAAGTTAAGCTTAGTCACTCAAAATTTTACATCCTTGGGAACAGATATCATGCACTGCTCCAAGTCCAACTATTGCTTAAGTTGATGCACCCTAATGTCTATGCAATTATATTGAACCATCAAATCGAATTCGACATATCCACGTCCTTCTATCACTATCGGCGAGCCAACATTATCTAGCTTTTAGTAACATAGCACGGCTTGATGAAACAGCCTTGTGCCAAAAGCGAATGACTGGCTCAGCGTGGCTGGAAATGACCAAAATACAAACGATGAGAGCTTAGCCCTTATGTCTATTGGAAGAGCAGGCCAATCTAAGGTATCAATTGGTACCACACAAACTACATTGGCAATGCTTATGAGTTAGAATTCGTACGACTTCCCAGATGTTTATTATTTCTACTATGTATACAGCAATCTTCGCAGGAATAGGCGTGAGTATTTGGGTGTTGGCTATTCAATCAAGCCGCTCCTCATTGATCAATGCCGGTATCATAGGCTTCACCTCAATCACATGGTATATGTGTGTTATCCTAGGCATATACTCATTGATATAACCGTTATCTCGCACCAATTTTTATGACTGTCCTACCATGATAAAGGAATTGGCCCTATTCACATTGCTATTTACTCCACCACTTCTCAACATCCTTGCCCGCTATATAATCCAATACTTGTCTCATCTTCCCACCATATTCAGCAAGCTCTCTTTCGTAATCTTCATCAAAAAGACTCCCGAATGGTGATCGTGGTCGTTCAGGAAATTCACCACCCTTCAACCCAGCGACGTGCAACTTGCACTTCCCACTAGCGATTCGAGATCCTGCTTTACGCCGGAGGGTGTCGAATACCTCAGACCAATTACAATAGGGTGATTCCAAATATGAGATCCGTATGTCCTTACATCGAGGGCTGAGCATGGAGAGCATCTGCCTTAACTCGGCCTGGAAGATCTGGTTATCTTCGATGCATAAGCTTCTAACGGTGGGCTTGACTGTCCTGAGCCAGCGCCCCGTCCGTCGCTCGCGTTTACAAGCGGGCTGTTCACAGCTTGTATCAGCGTATCCCCACGACACTCCCGAGCCGATTCGCACATGTCGAAGGCTGCGGCTGGAAAGCAAGGCCGAGGTGTACGCGCACCAGTGACCTAGACGATTAACTTCAACTACCCGTAGTAACTTAAATGCGCTTCTGAGTTCTGTCATTGAACGCTCAGCAGAGACGCCGGGTGGGAAGATGTGACAACATCTATATATGACACAACTGAGCTTCAGGCTTTGTAGCCATCCGCCCGCTTGAGCTATGGCGATGGGCAGCTCTGTCAGAACGCGTGCTGGGAGCAGCCCGGTTGTCTTGTCACTGTTCCAAGGAGGGGGTTGAGTAAACGCGTCTGCGACCCCCGTATCTCCTAGAAATAGACCAAGATTCGTCAAGCTGTATCTTTTCTGGATATCATCCGTAAAGTGCAGAGCGATGGGTTGCCGAAGTCGACCCAGAGCAGCAGCTAACTGGCGAACAAAGGATCCGCTCATCAAGAGCTCAAATTGTTCCCAATGCTTCTCCTTATAAAGCTCGTGGCAGGAGCGAAAGAAGTTATACTGCGATGTGGAATTGACCGGACCGAGATATTGTCCAAAGTTTTCCAGTGTTCGGATCATATCCTCTCGCTTTTCCACGGCCTGGCGTTTTCCATAGAGGCCGGGATTATCATCTTCCCAAGAAACGGGTATATTTGCTGACTTCAAATCCGTCTCCAAACATGCATTTGCCAGTTTCACTTCCCAGTGAAGAGAAAATTGCGAGCGACTGGAAGCTAAGAGTCCAGGCCGATAAGCCAAGGAGAGCCGTATGCCGCGAAGACCACTGGCGATTCGGGGATTTTTGAGAAGTTCTCTCGCGCGGTCGATAGACTCGTACGAGATCTCAAGATATAGGTATGGGCACAGGAGTGGCGATGCGAGGTTGCTGAAAGTGCGGCACACCAGACGCAAGTTTTGGACGGCCAATAGCTGCCACGGCCGGGATTCTGGGTCTCTATCGTAACTTGAGAACCACTGTCTATGATCTGGTATCTCCTCACCTAATTTTTCGACAGTCAATGCCCAGATCTCAATCGGAAGCCGCAGCCGGGGTGGGAGCGGCCGTGTTTTTTCCCTAGGCATATTGGGCGTGATGGTCCAGTGCGATTCCAGAGAACACGGGATGCAATTATGCAGTCAATAAAGTGTGAGTACACTCTAGACCTTCTGTGCTTTCCTGCTGAGTATGCTGTTGTGTCTTTTCCTCGAAAGACTGTGATTGTGAGTAAAACCGCAGCAGTGAGTGACTCACTTCCAATGTTGCTTACTGCGTGGGGCTTACAGGGGTTTCCCCTCCCTCAAGAGCGTAACATGCAATATGAAATGGCTATCTTGATGCCCTAAATCTCCTCCCTCCATTCCACCTATCTATCCTATCAGACCGTACTCGCACAGTCACCACTCATGGCAGCCATCAAGAGTTTTCTTAATGAAACTAACTTGAAAGATGAGATGTTCCTTCGTAACTACCCTATACCGCTGATTGAAAGAACGGGTTTCTGTCGAGATAGTATGCCTATCTAAAAGTAGAATACCGCGTCGCAGAGTATAAGATTCCTTCACATTGGGCGTCAATGTTCCTATTCAAGCATCGGGGATTCTTAGTTTCTATAGTGTTGTTGTCGCTTGTCATCTAACAATCACTTTGATCATAGCGCCAGCTTTGGTGATCGTGGGGATTACTCCCAACAACCCTACCGGATGACCGGCAGATTAGATGAATGGCAAGGTCCATCATCATGTGCCGAAACTAGAGACCCAGACAGAAGTTCTTAACCAACAGTGTCTAGGAAAAGAGAAAACACAGCCCTATCCTTCCCGCCACCTCCCCTTGGTTGCCTAGCAGGACTCGAGCTGAAAAGTTGAAGGATGTCAATACTCCTTCACGATCGAGAGTTCTAGACTCCCATTCGATTTGGACAGGGGTCCCGGACACCTAAAACTCACACGCACTCAAGGGGCTTGTGTGGGTCGAGATCTTCAGGCTCCCCTACCCGACCATAATTGCCACGATATAAGACTAGCTGATATGAGTATATCTGTCCCCTATATATTTAATAAGCACAGAAGTTTGAGAATCTCGTAACCAGGGGCTTATTACCGAATTCTCAGAGCTACTTCTGACTCTTAAGGGGCTTTTGTGGTTGGGAGTGCCACCCACATATCAAAAGCCCCGTCATTCTCGCTCGTGTGCTGACCAACCAGTGATTGATTGATGATTGCCCAGAACACAACCGATAAGCCCCAGACAAGCCTGAAGCACCTTGTCCCCTGCCTAGTGCTTACCTCGGCAGCGCTGGTCTGCGCCTGGGACTTGAAGTGATTGGCTGCTAGGAATAGTAGCCTCCCGTTTCCTTGCTTAAGCATACTGGGGCAAAGTCGAGGCAAATATTTAGGCAGAGCGGTTCGCAATCGCCGCACAGTTGTGCGCGCGTTGTCTGTGTTTCTGATCTTCTGCCTGAAGCATCTACACTCGCCAGCTATGACGCAGTTCCAGACGGGAGTCTGGTACGACCACTCCCATTCTGCAGCGACTCAAGGAGCCATAACACTCCCGAAGAACAATGGAAATATCTTCCTCTCCTTCCTGACTGTCATGGTCACGGTCGCTGGGGCTTGTGCATGGACCATTGTCTCCCTGCTGATCCACAGCTACCTGGTCCGCAGTCGCCCCGACACCGATCTTTTTGATCTTCAACAACAAGTCACTCTTCGGAACGCGAAGACGCCACTCGGCACGATCTACGATCTGTTTAAAATCCATGGCGCTTGGTCAGGCCGGAAGGTGCCGAGGCTCGGGCTCAGGACAGCTGTTGCTGTTGTCCCTGCTTTGCTCCTCTTTGGCGGGATGATGACGGCCTCCATCTTCACGTCAAAGGTTGTAACAAGCGAGGATGGAAGTGGTATTGCCCTGGCGCTCAACCAAGGCTGCGGCGTCATTCCCTATTCGAATGTGTCCGCCAGCGACCTGACCAATATCATAAGGGTCAACAAGGTGATCAACGAGACCATAGCAGCCAGAAATTACGCCATCAATTTCTATGGGAATAGAGATAACACGCAATCGATCAAGTCCAAGTTCGTCAAAGACTACCTCCCTTACAAAGTCGACACCAACGCATCATGCATGTACCCAAGCGCGGCCCGGTGCAACAAGGGTGTGGCACCGATCCGCCTGGAGTCCGAGATGCTGGACTCTCACAGCATGTTTGGGATCAATGCAAAGCCTTCCAATCGCATTGGAGTTCGCACAGCTACAACATGTGGCTTGGCCAGTTTGCAGAATCTGTGGAAAAAAGAGTCGAACATGTTTACATTTTATATGGGTGGAATTAGGAACGAGTCAAACTATACCATTTCCCACCCGGCGACCAACGTACGTGGATATACTGGCTATCATATCCAGTAAGTCGACAATGGCTATTGAAAGATTCCCTGGATGGAGACCACTAACCCTCCAAAATAGGTCTTTCACTGAGGGGAAATTCTCAGGTTGGAACCCTATTTCAGACTTCAAGCGCTCTGATGCCGACGTCAGCGTCATCTTCTTGAACCAGAATGGGATGAAATATGCACAGCCAGTCAAAGACCCTTACTTTCTTGCGGACAACAACACATCTGGAGAGTTTTACACGCCCAGTTGGGCAGTCAATCCGCTGCTCTGCTACGACCAGTACATGATTTGCAATCCAGTCAACGACCGCTGTTCATCTTGGGCCAAACTCGCAAACTTTACAGAAACCGCAATCCACGACCCGACCCTTGATTTTAACGATGCGCAGCATGCCACTGCTGCTCGCATGACTCTTCATATGCAGTTGACTGCGACAGGAATTCTCATGGCTACCTCGAACAATGCAGGTAAGCTGTGGTCCACGCCTTCTGTTTGAATGGTGCCGTTTATTAACCCCCCCCAACCAGCCTTATATGCTAGCAACCATATTATCGGCAATGACTACTCAACAGGTCTACCGGAAAATCAGTGGCACCTCGAAACTACTGCATGGTTCCAGACAAAACTGGCAAAGATTCAAGCGAGTGTGGCGGAGTATGTTCGCGCCCCGGATGATGAACTGGGCCTTGAAATAATCTCCCCTCATAGCTCGGCTCTGAGAGACATGTTCAACGTTACGGATGCGGTCATGGCCGAGCTCCAGGCGCAATGCGAAACCCAACTTATAATGAGCAATGGGGAAGTCTCTACCTTCAGTTTCGCCGGCATGCTCATCATCATTGTCATCACTGCTCTTCTCGCAGTAATCAGTTTCTACATGCAGGATATTCTCGACTGGGTCGGCAAGTTCTTCCCAAATGGTACACAGGCCCGCCTGGCGGATGATAAGTTGCAGATTCTTCGGCTCGCCCTTGCTTCGAACGGCGGACCGAGGCAGTGGGAGGTAGGATATGCAGATGTCCCCGTCACGTCTGATTACCACCACGTCAGGAGACCAGATAAAGAGCCGGAGTCTTCTGGGTACCCGCTCGACGAACAGCGGCTAATTGAGTCGACTACGACCCTTCCGAGCCAGTACAGATAGATGAAATATTTAATGCGTGCTATCGATTGCTTGCCCGACGTCGTGACACAGTTGCTAGCACTCACTTTCCTAGATCTGCTTGAAGAGTGCTAAAGATTCGGTGTAATGGAAATCTGATAATGCTCGTAATACAATGCTCATTGATTAATGGAGTCGATGTTATCTCGATCTATGAAATTCCGCGATCGACTTGATCAAGTTGAAAGCGTGGTTCAACCGGGCGATATTCGCATCATCGCCAATATCGAGGTAGTACCTGTAGCTATCACGGAACTGGCTATCCCAGAAACCTAAAAGGTCCTCGTCCCCTTGGGAATACGTCCAGCACCGAATGGAGCCACCGATGATTGTACAGGCGAGGCCCTTGTCAATGCCAGGATTGGCTGTCAGGAAGTCCTTACAATAGCCCAGTGCCTGTCCCTCGATAGCTGTGACAAGAGTCTCGGTGCCGTTGACGGCCCTCTTTGCAAAACAGAGGATCTTCCACGCTCCATCCGGAGTTTCGCACTCAATGACAATATCGCAGGCCTGGCGACTCTGGATATTTGTGGTCTGTGAAGATACATAAAAGCTTATGTCCCCGAAAACGAATTTGTTGAATAGGTACTCGAAAAGGTTGAGGGCTCTGTATTGCCCTTTCATTAGGAGATTTCCGCCATCGTCAACGCTTTGCTTCGCAATCAGGTACTTAGTCTCAAGTCCCGGGTAGGTATCAAGCCGCAGGGCTTCAAAGTAGAGACATCCATTCCATGATGAGATGGTGGATCTGTGCGATGTGAGGATAGGGCGAGAGAAAAGGGCGAGAGGATAGGGCGTGTTGGGGTGTTTTATGCAGTTGGTTGACCACGAAATACAGAAATTGTGGCGAAATTCGAACTTTGTATTGTGGAAGGTGTTGGTTGGCGCCAATCGGGGTCAGAATAACAGGCACAGGAAAGGTGTTTATATCAATCCAGGACACAATACTAATAAAAATAACTAATAATCACAACAATGGTATTTTATTGAGTAATCATTGGGCAGTATTATGTACCTACTATTATACAATACGCAGATATGTAATGTGACTAACTACCACAATAGTTCTGTCGAGGTGACTTGGCAGTCCTTGTTTTTCTAACTGCCACTTAGGCGCCGATCACCGATTCACAGCCGCACAACTATTTCGACTTTGGTGCTGATAGAAGCCAAACAGGCGTTTTGATTCCCATATTAGGTTGAGGACATAATGGAATTACTTCATTGTTGCGTGAACTACCTAGCAGTATGACGTGGTCGAGCCCGTACAGAGACCGTATGCATACGAAGAGGAGAAGAGCAACCCAGCGTTAGTACCTTGTATTTCCTGCAAGCCTTCCGAGATTTAAGCCAGGATCTATGACCAAGTCTGCAAGAGGAGATATCTGCAAATCCCCAAAACCCCTATGCTCAGTGTGAAATCGAATCATCAATCCCTCGCCTTGAACTTGTCCCTTGGCACACATTTGAAGTCCTCAACTCCACATTTTCACGCATTCGAATCGTATGATTCTGTGTGTGAATCATGTCCATTTGTCAAAATGCGAGAGCTTAAAGCTGGGGGCCCTCGGCTGGACTGGCCCCTGAGCATCTGCTAATTGAACCATACTGTATTCCATGCCGCAGCTCTCTACTCACTTCACGTACCATTATCTCGTATCTAGATCTAGTCGCTGAAGGCCTGTCTACGGGCTGCGGCTCGCGTTAAATGGATGCAACCCCGGCTGCTCGTTATATTCGAACAATTGCCAATCACGAGTACAAATTGAAATATTGCGTGGTGATAAAATATTTCAGATTGAGGCTTTTATCCAAGTTGGACTCAGCGCTTATAGAGTGAGGTTGACAGTGCCATCGGATTGTAGGTAAGAGTCCATACTGTACCTTTTGGTCTTCAAGTGGTACTCCAGACAGCCCGTCAAAAGCGTTCGGCTGTTTGCTATCCAGCTGCTTAGGCCTTCCACGATCGTGTCATCATCATAACGTCCTGACCTCGCCATCTTTTTAAGCTCTTTAGCCGCTTCATCAAATGCTTTGGATGACTGCTCCATCCTTGTCATGGTTTGATTCATGATCCGGCTAAGATCTTTATGGTCAGAGGCATTATATTCGATCGGCAGCATGCTCGTCAGAACACCGTACTTCTGCAGCGAGTTAACTCGTAAACTGAATGGCATACGGCTAGGGAATTTGGGTACCATCTCTTTCTTCAATGAATATATGTCGTTTATGCTTTTTTGGTGTATATGTTAGCAATAGCTTCCTGTAGCAGAGAACGGAATGCCCTACAGGATTGTCATGATATTCTCCTCATATCTGAGAGACTTCATTTCCTCCGATTCCATAATAAACGAGGGAATACTGGTGCTGGTCGTGTAACTGAAAGTATTAGCTTTGAGTAGTCATGCTTGGATACGGCCCTAACCTACTCGAGAAAGGCCGTCAAGGTGTAGGATCCAGAAGTTCCTAGTCGGATATCAAGATAATCATCCGTAGACAAAATTTGTCGACGGATATTAACCCCATGCTCCTTAGCCACTTGACCGATGTAAAATTCGATCTCGCGGTACAGACGCTCTTTGGTTTCTGCCACAGTTTTTAGGCATGGGGTCCTATGTACATGAGGTCGTGGACATACCTTGAGCTGCATCCTGGCGGAACAGGGCGCCAAACGCACCAAATAGACCTCTTGTTATGGTAGAGCATGGAATGCCTTCTCCGACCTCCTCGTCAGGCTGCTGACTCTCACTACTATCAAGGCCCAATGCCCAACGAGTGAATTCAAGAGTTGACTGAAAATTGGCTTGCGCCTTCTCGAAGTCTCCGTGAAACTGGCCTTCACTCATGTCAATCTCGTCGTCCCAAACAAAAAGCCACACGCAAAAGAGGGCAACAGCGCGAAGCTTATTCCATTCCGCGAAAGGGTACCACCTAGCGAGTATATCTCTTAGCATCGCCAAACTGAGCAATGAGGCTGCGAGGTACGACCTACAAAGCTGTAAACCACCCAAAATCACACTTTTTGAGACGTTCAAGGTCTTTGGGTGAAGCAACCACGCTGTGAAAGATTATTCGTATCTCTTCATGGGGATCTAGGGCTATGCACTGTACCGTTCCAGATGTTGGTCCACAAACTTGCGAAGCCTTTCAAGATTTGGATTCGTTCCAGCGGGCCATGTCGAAAAGAAAGGTCTCATATCTGGTATATGAAGAGCTTGCCCAGATAGCTCATTGTGCAAATGGGAGACTGGATCTTGAGGGGTACACGAAGCCATTTGGGAAAAGAAAAAAAAACGAAAGGAGCTATGCTGCTTTGTTGCTTGGCTTGGTTCAGAAAGATGATATTTAGAAAACAGCCTGAGGTATAGGCAATAGGCAGCACTATATATACTAATGTAGGTATGTATATATCCTCAGCGTGGTCAATGTTATTGACCATAAATACAAGGGAATTGATACTATATGACTCTTACCGCCTGTACTCCCTCACATAACGCCCTGCTCCTCGCAGTATTACCCTAGTCTTCTTAGTGCTTTGTCTTTATATCCTCGGTCAAATTATCTGAGACCAAGCTTAGCGATATTCTGGCGCACTTGCATTAGTTAGATTCTGGCTTCTTTTCCATTGCACTACCTCATACCCAAGGACCGATGGGCATGGCGTTAAGACGGCGGATAAATACGCTACTGCGTAACAGATCATTTTGGGCATCGTCTTCTACGTAACTACAGCACTTGTGGTGTACAGGTAAATGGGTGGCACAAGGGATAAGACACCAAACTAGTACTTCAAACATCCATACCTGGGGAGGACCTATGGTTTATCCCCCACAACTTGACCCCAAATCACCTTGAAAACTCGAGAAGAGACCATGATATAATTCAAAGACCATAAAAGGAAGGGATGCATTCTTCAAACCCTAATTGTATCTCTTTTTCTGCATTGTATAGCAAAAAAGAAGGCCTAAGAATATGGTGACTCATTGGTTATGCCCTCCACTTGACTCGGTATTGTACTATAACTTCCATACACTAACTTCGGATCCACGCTGTGATGTCACGGACATCCCAGATCCAAAACTAAGGTAGTTATGATGCAGTCCCTTAGACCACGTCTGACGTGGCACGGTGCGGTGCTTATCGAGGTATGGCGCGCTCTTCTAATAGACTTGGGGCAATTCTCTTGGTGGGCACACGGGTTCTTAGTCCTAATTTAAACATACTGAACCCCCTAAGTAAACAACGACCAAACACCAAAGCTAACTGGCGACGATAAGCAAACATAGAATGCATCAGCGTGCCATCCAATTCTTTAACGAGTGTTTTAGTGGTCGAGGAGAGAGGAGGCATGACACCACAAATGCACCGGTAATAGAAACACCCACCCAGGTGACGCTGTCCCTCATGTTGCCATACTAGAATCAGGTGCTACCAAAGCGCTACCTTATCATAGCTGTTATGCACGAGCAGTTCGGCCCGATAATTATGGAGGATACCTAAAAGACGAGAAGCTAGAGTAGGAGAGACGTGCAGGTTGTAGGTCGAGACGGCTATATACACATGAATCTCTAAACGCATAGCACATCATGCGTACTCCCCACAACTCCATATTGGATTCATTAACGAGGTCTTTCACTCATTCGTTTTGGGCCAGAACCTGGCGATCTCGCCTTCTTTTACCTTCTTAGAAGGCGGGGCGTGGTGGGCTTTGCGTTCTATGATCTGCATTTATGATCTGCATTTGCAGGAGTCAAGCAGAACGTGCGTTAGAATCGTGGAGTCATACGGCATGTCACCATCTTTGGACGGCCTCTCTTGTTGTACCTAGATCTAGATATCCCCCAATATTTCGCACCCGTCGAGAGCGCGCGCTGGTGCGGGGCCTCCCTTCCATTCGAAGACAAGTACTTCCATTACCGTCCTGTAAAGCGGGGACCATTGTAACTCGATTCGCGAGAATGATCGTCTGCCGGGAGAGAACGATCGTCTGCCGGGAATGATCGTCTGCCGGCCGAGAGATGTCGGACGCGTTAGCCCAATCACAATCTTACACGCATCGATTGTCGCTTTAGTAGGGGTCTTTGAAGTGGCGGCAATTCGAGCCGAAGCATGCCATCACACACTTCTTGTCCAATGCTCCTAATTCCTTGTTATTCCTCTCTTCATCTGAGTGCTTCGCATGTCTAGCTCATCTCTCAACGGAAAGGCGGCAAGAGTCATGGTTATCTCTCCGTCTACCTCCCTACATTTCAATCTGTCCACTAGGCTGAGCATAGCGAGGCAGAGGTCGACAGTTGATTTCCGTTCTCCTTCTTCACAAGTACTAGTGCTGGGCTGGAGCATGCTATAAATATTCAAGTCTTCAATAATTCGATAAGCCCGGTTGCTTCGGGGTCTGTGTTCTCGGGCGTGGGGCCTCCCTAGAATCCGTGATGTAGGTTGAAGTCCCTAAAGCATATCTGTTCAGACCCGCATGTGGTTTGTCTCACCTGAATAAGTGCGCTGTGACCATTTTTGGGCATGGGTCATACGTTGGGGACGTGGATCGGCAACGCGCCCTTCATCGATTGTCTTGTCGGGATCCTCTGGCCTGGTAAACACGATAATTACCGATAATGCCGAGCCGGGACTTTGAGTCTTCGGCAAACTGTCTCAATCCGTTGGTGTCCTCGGTGGTGGCTGTCTTTGTGCTCGAACTTCGCTCTTGAGCTGGTCAGTTGAGGCTACCACAATATGCTTTGCGTGCTCGTTGCCGCTATGTTCAATCGTTCGTTCTACGTGAGCCTTGAGGTTTCGAAGGTCCATGGCTCTGATGTTAGCTATAGTGAGAGGGTTTCCAATGTTCAGGATCATCTCGCGCAGGGCTTGAGACAGCGTTGCTTTTTGGCTTTGAGTATTATTTATGCTAGATGGTAGTGGTTAAAGCAATATAACGTGTGGCGACTATTTCCGTGCTTGAGCATATCGATCGCCTGTCATTCATGAACCTGAAGGCCGGGTATGCGTTTCTATCTAAAGCAAAGGTCCTCCGGGTGAAGCTTCTCCTCATGCAAAAACTCGGCGACCGGTGCAGGGGTCTCTTAGTTCACCAGTAGGAGGATTCCATACATATACTTGGCCAATAGAGTCCTGCTTCGGCGAACACGATCTCAAGACTTTGCCATGCGGAAAATGAACCTACTCTTAAATCTATCACATTTGTCTTTGCAAATCCGACGAATTCAAAAATTACATACGTTGAGGATATTGTTGTCAGCGACCCCGTGGTCTTAAATGGGAGTGCTTTTATGAGGTATGTTATTCGTAAATTGCAAATGAACGACTCTCTTCTGATAGTGTTGACTTTATGACTAGGCTATTGCTTGGTGGTTCATATGGCAATATGACTTTCTAGAGATCTAGAAGGGGACAGGAGCGACCCTAAAGCTGACGGAAGCACGCATGCCTGCGATCACAACCGAGTAGAAGTATAGATGATGTAGATAGTTGGTTTGTGCCTATCTATATCGGCTTTTCTGGGCTTTCAGAAGCCCCGTCTTGAAATGAGAAAGAGCACAGCGATTTGCAGGATACCTCATCCTCGTGTATACCCTGGATGATCAGCGGACGTCTCCCTATGCTCTTCTCGCATTCCTCAAGCACGCTTGTCGATGAATGACTGAGCGACTTTAGAGCAGAACAAGCCACTGCAGATTTAGTGCAAGGCGTCATATTTGAGTGAGTGGGCGAATATCACTAGAACACGATTTTGAATTCTTTCGCTGAAAAACCGGCGAATTTGATCTCGCAATTTTGATTCGACCAGAAGATACTCTCAGCGAAGAATCAAATGATAAGAGCCCAGCCGTAGCCAACGTTTTAGTTAGATATATCCAGTCATAAGTTCTTGATTAGCAAGGGCTCGGCGTAGATACACATATTATAGAAGTACTTGCTGGTTGCCACCTAGCCGGACATTTAAATGGACATCTGCCTTCGAATAAGGCACCGTGTGAAACGTATTGCTGTCTTACCCACAACCAATGAAGAGCTGCATTAACTTTTATTAGGAATCAATAATATTATTGGCTGGAGTAACTTTTACCCTTTGTCACATTTCTGACGTCACCATTGCCAATAAAAGACTCAATATTGGGGAGATGAGATTTTCAACTTGAAAACATCAATATCGCGTCTTAGCCTAGTAGTCTCGCCATGGAAGGAGAATCAGCAGCTCTAGGTGGCGATTCAATCTCTCCTAACCAAACGATTTTCCAGGGATTTGAATGGTATCTCCCTGCTGATCACCAGCAATGGATTCGCCTTTCTCGATCCATGCGAGATCTTGCGGCGTTGGGCATCACCAGCATCTGGATACCCCCGGCGACGAAAGCCATGAGGCCCACAAGCGAAGGCTATGATGCATATGACCTATATGACCTAGGCGAGTTTGAGCATCACGGGACTAAGCGGACTAAGTATGGTGATAAGCGAGAGCTTGTCCAGCTGGTAGAATCCGCGAACAATAGTGGAGTTTCCATTTTATTTGATGCAATTTTGAACCACAAGATGGGTGCCGACAGCACCGAGTCTGTTCGAGCCGTCAAGGTTGACCCAGAAGGCATGTTTCCTTTGATGATGAGTTTGAAATCGTCTAACTGTGTTGTATAGACCGCACGAAAAGCATTGGCAGACCGACGAAAATCAAGGCCTGGACTAAATATGACTTTCCGGGCCGCGGGGAGAAGTATAGCTCCATGAAGTGGAATAAAGATCACTTCACGGGCGTTGATTATGACGACAAGTCCAAACGCAACGGGGTCTGGCGTTTCCAAGGCAAAGACTGGGCTTCCGATGTTGACGAGGAACTCGTGAACTACGACTTCCTGTAGGTTCTTCTTCCTCGTTCTTTCTTTGAATCTTCTTTTACTAAAATGCGTGGTAACTTCCTCAGCTTGGGCCAGGATATTGACCATAGCCATCCTGAAGTACGAAGGGATCTCTTCCACTGGGTAGAGTGGCTTTCCTCGCAGCTGCGGCTCGGGGGTCTGCGCCTAGATGCGATCAAGCATTTCTCGGCTTCATTTCTTCGCGACTTTGTCCGCCATATCGATCAGAACGTCGATAACGGAACCGACTGGTTCATTGTGGGCGAGTATTGGAGAGCTGACGCCAAGGTCCTTTCTGCCTACATCGAGTATATGGACCACCGGATGTCGCTCTTTGACGTGCCATTATTGACGAATTTCTACAACTTCTCAAAGGGTATTCTTACCGACATAAGACAAGTGTTTCATGGTAGCCTGGCGGCAGTGAAGCCTAAAAATGCTGTGGTAAGTTGTATTTCAAGAAAAGTTTGCTATGGCTAACGGGTATTGGCATCATCTATCATAGACATTTCTTGTTAATCATGATACGGTGCGTCGATCCCTTAATCAGAAGAGCTCATGCTAACAATCTGAAGCAAGCTGGACAAAGCCTTGAGGTATTTCCCATATCAGTCTCGCCCCTTTTCTTTTACGTCTCCTCCTCTCTTGCCCCCCTTCACTTGGTATCCTTTCCATGTTGACGTATATTGATTTTCGACAGACGATAATTGAACCGTGGTTCCTCCCGATAGCCTACTCCATCATCTTATTGCGTGAGAACTTCGGAGTCCCCTGTGTCTTCTGGGGAGATCTTTACGGAACTCAGGATCCAACGCTACCTCGACCACCGTATGGCAATGGTCGCATCATACCTCGCCTCATTCGGGCTCGTAAACTATGGGCATACGGAACCGAGATGCTCTATTTCACAGATACCCCATCATGTGCTGGGTTTACACGGCATGGGCACCAATCACGTTCTGCAGGCGCAGGCCTCGCTGTGATAATCAATATCGGATGGGCTTCCACCGTCAAACAAATGTATGTAGGAAAAGACCACGCAGGGGAGAGGTGGTCCGACCTTCTTGAACAGACCTGGGGTGAGATCACGATTGATAAGGACGGCATGGGTAATTTTAGTGTTGGTCCGAGGACTGTCAGTGTATGGGTGCACATCTATGCGGAGGGTTACCAGGATGAAGATACATACACGTTGTAAGTTGACTCCATCTCCTCCACATCTATTTAAGAATAGCAGGCCTTTCCACTATGGTCGGTAGCTAATGAGAACTCCTCCTCACGATAGTGATGACCGAGGGTACAGTGCTGTTGAAGGCGCTCTAGATAAGCTCAAGCTGAGGGAACCACTTCACACGATGCCTGCGTGGTTACAGTCCACGTCTAGTGTCTGACAGAACCAATCCTACATGGCCAGGCAGCTACAATATATTACACTGAGTTATTTTCGTCTCTTGCCTGATCAGAGTTGAAATCACTTTAGCGAGAAGTCAGAGTGAAGGAAGGTTGTATGTATTCATTCCAGCAGCGTAACTTCTTCTACGAATCACAACACCCCTCCGTTCCCCGTTTGAGGTTAAGTTGTGAATACTATACATATCAGAAGCAAGTACAACGAAGCACTAAGTCTTGTCAATGCTGTGAGATTCATATAGTTACTAGCATAGTCGGATTCACTTGGTTGTCAAGCGAAAAACCTCATCTCAATAGGAGGGGGTTCGGTTGATCTTGAGTTGTTATAAGCTGGGAACGCTCTGAGAAGTTCCCAGTTCCAATGCGTTAGAGCGAGACTCTACAAAAGAAGGCGAAAGCCCGGATTAATGTAAATATTGATAATTTCTGATGGGTGAGCTGACGATTGTTGCCCCAGAAATGTATCGCTATGGCAGAATAAGATCCGCTTTTTTTATCATTGTTTCATCCACCTACCGCGACAAATAGGGTCAATATGGAGGACGCGAAAGAAATCGGGCGGAGAGAATGGACGGTAACTGCAGCTCATAACGAAGAGCGGCTTTCACATCACCGGGGCGCGTTGACAAAGTTGGAGGTAAGCTTGCTTGTTATTGCCGAACTCCAAATAGATAATAGAGCCTAAACTGCTATTTGGTTTATGGATCCAGGCAACTTTAGGACGCTTGATGTCGCTATATGCGCGGGCTATCAATCCACAGGGGAGATATGGTGCCATATCTCCGACACCAATAGAGATGTCGATCGTTGTGCGGTACTGCGATGATTAACAGCAGCACAGGGACTTTCGGTTGCAGCTGATCCCAACCGATTGTCGGTCCTTTCTTTGAAGTTTGCCTCATGTCTAAACATGCGCAAACACGAAGGTTCTCAATGTTTTTCACTTCGCCATTAATAAGCCCTGAAGTCAGTTGTCTGTAATCATTCTCTGCTAACATCCGAAGCCATGCGCCAGACCCTGAAATTGACGTCTATCGCCTGGCGAGTATCTACTGTGTGCTGATAACACCCGTCTGGGGTCCTGCCGGATGTTTATAGTTCCGAGTGATGGCGCGAGGTTTTAGTCCCGGCCCGCTGGGTATCGCGAAGCGGGTGAGGTTTTTCCGAACAAACTGTGTAATTTCATTGTTGTATTAATTCCTACGGATCTAGCCCGTGTTTAGATACCCCCTATTCTAGATAGGCACAAATTGACTCTGTTATTATTATCGCCTAGCGAGTGTTGAGAATCTACCCGACTGGTCCAAATACGATCTGATCGTTCTAAGTGGAGGCACATTTAACCTCATTTCCGACGACCCATTGCTCTAGGTAGAACAGGGCTTGGCCTTGATTCGCCAAGTCGCCAAAGACAGCAGCGGGATCGAGCTATTGGGTCTCTGCTGGAGCTACCAAGCTATCCAGTTTGTGCTTGGGGGGAAGGTGGACGTTTTGAATAAGTCCAATGTAAGCTTGTAAAAGAGCAAATCGAAAATCATATAACAAAGGTTACGATAAAAGAAATTCCTAATGGACATTTGCCACAGAATGCTTTTGCTCGGTTAATGGAGTTGATAGATATAATCATTTATAGCAGCCAAGATTCAGGAATACATTATCAGAGATGTCAGAAAAGGTACACTTGAGGATGAAAGTAGTTACAGGCGGTGCGGCGAGAAGAACTTATGATTTATTACTCAAGAAACCCCTACTTTAAGTTGAAGTAAAATAATCCACTAGAAAAATTCAGCTCTCCTTACTACTTTTTTCTTCCTACATTAGCACCAACTAGAAGTATCTCTCTGAACCAGACTAGATATATATGCCGATGAGCTCTGGTACTCTTATGCGTTGGTACTTTTCAATGATATATCAGTTGTAACATATATGTCTTTGCCGATAAGTTGTCTCGAGCTGCGGTTGTCTATATCGGCAACATCCTCCAGGTCGTTGGAATTTGTTTTCTGCACATGGCCGCCAACCACCATTGTGTTGAGCGTACCTGAGTTCTTGCTTGTGCTCAGTTCGTAAGTCCCATCCGCACGATGTCTTCGCCACCCATCCGAAGGATCATTCGATCTGCTGGGATATCGATGCCCTTCGCTTCCATCGCCTTTCTTCAAGAAGCGGTCGATGAGGGGCTTGAGAGCGCTCGAGCAAGCTGCTATCATACCCAGCCCCGGCTCAGCCATGCCGCAGACGAAGAACGGCGCTATGGCGAGAGAGTAATCATCAAAGGACAGAAGGTCTACAAGATATTTGAGACGAATTGTTGACGCAATACTGGCAAGTCCACCTAGGCCAAGTAGAAGGGCGGAGGCCAGCTTCATATTGCGATTCATTTGTAGACTCCAAATCAAGAACAGAGGGAGAATAGAGCAAACCCAGTCGGTAAGGATACCAACCGTTGTATAGGTGAAGTTGACCCCGCTGTTGACGATGGGTGACAAACAGACGGCGCCGGGAATGTTGAGATCCCACCAGGCTGCAGTGGGACGACACTGGAAATGAATAAAGATCAAGGTTCCGATGATAGTGGTCGAGAAGAGCGCGATGTTGACGTAGAGGATATAGAGATAGATAGGCTTTCTCCCGGCGATTCGCATAAGGGTAACGCAAATGCTCAACTTGATGGCAAGACAAGAAAGGCAGTTACCGACTTCCAAAATGAACAAATCCTAGAGGGTGATCCGTAAGTATATTGTCAACAGGGACGTCCAAGCCATTCTCATAGTGACACTAGTAGTCGACTTACCTTGCGGATGCCTTCCAGGTTAGCATCGCTCAGTGTGGCAGACTTGGCCCCCAAGCCGTGCGTGGCCGCAGATATCAATGTGTACGCTTCGAGGACAAGAGATGGGTATGCAAAAACAAGTAGCCAGTCATCAAAGCCCCACGATTTGCGCATCCAGCCCCGCACATACAAGCGCATGCCAAAGACGATAGTCGCCGGGATGAGAAGGACCACGGCAACAGCCACAAATGGCTCAGATTCGTGTCTTAACGCCATGTTGACAGGATAGCTTTCTAGACAAAGATTAGAAGCGAAAGTATTTGGAGACAGAACATGGTCTCGTGTTACAGTGGTCGGAGCTGATAAGGGCGTTGCAGAATTTTAATAAGTCTCCCAACGTCGTATTCAGTTCAATTCGCGATCCTTGCAAGTCAACTCCGAGATCGACAGGCCAGAAGCACACTTCAATTTACCATATACAGTAATTGCATCTTACCCCCTGAAATTGAGGACAATTGCAACTTGCAGGAGAACATGAACATCGTGGTTCCTGTCTGAACAGAAATCTGGAGGCCTCCGAGCAACGACCTGACCTAAGGATTCCAACCGTGTTCCGGGACTGTTCCGGGACTGAATTATACTACATTCAAACTCAGGGGCACAACCTCCGTTGTGACAATCTTTTGCCAGGGTGCCCTAGTCAACAACCTTTGGGCATGAGTCGTAACGCAGCAGATAGAAAGATAAAGCGATCAGCGTCAGCGAGTGACATACCTGGCCAAAGCAGACGTTGCTAGCGTTGGGTGCCAGTGGCCGAATGCGTACACTTTCCCCCGCGCGGGGTTCCCGGGATTGTTAGAAGAGCTTTTTCTCGTTAGTAGAAGCGGTCTAAAAGATGACATTGCAAGGTATACCCGCCACCTACAGATTAGACATATAACAGATTTCAATATAGGTCTACTAGCTTGCTTTGTATCACACGGGGATGTATTTAGACGAAGAGTAGTCCAGTAGGAAATAGACGGCACTTTGAAACCAGTATTTTGCCAAACTTGCATATATCGTCGGAACTCTAAAATGAAGTTTCATGGCACTGTTGCCGTCCTGGGGGCATTCCTTTTTCGGCCTCAGGGTGTCATGGCAAGTATTTGCCAGGACTTTATCGTTCCGGTGGACATTTCAGCAGTCAACAGCGTTTTCGACTTTGCCCTTCCCACTTCTAGCATTGATGTCACAAACTTGATGATCAACCTCAGCCGTCAAGGTTCTTATTACCCTAGCACAATAACATCAAACGTGAGTCTCGAGTTGATAGTGCAAAGATCAACCCAAATATAACTAACAATTTGAAGACCACATCGCTTTCAGGCATATTCAAGATCGCGGTAACCTACTGCCGTCCCAATCGCGGCCATAGTGACACTATACAGGTGCTGACCCATGGTATCTCATTTGATAGAAGGTAAGAGACCCAATCACACATTTTGTCGAGTGTTCTGACATGTGGAATAGTTACTGGGATTATCCATTCCACGGCGGTAACTACTCGTATATGAAAACAGCAGTCGACGACAACGGCTTCAGCACTCTAGCTTGGGATCGCTTCGGCATCGGCAACTCTCAACATGCAGATCCCCTTGCTACTGTACAATCTCCACTCGAACTGGCCGCCCTGAAAGCATTGACAGAAATCCTCCGGTCTGGGTCCTTCGGCCCATTGCCCTCGTTTTCAAAAGTCGTTCATGTCGGCCACTCGTTTGGATCCATCCTGTCATATGGACTCGCACGCGACAATCCAGAATTGTCTGATGGCCTTGTCCTCACAGGCTTTAGCCAGAACGGATCATTCATACCCTTATTCTTCGCGGGCAGCAACATGATTCCTGTGTCTACTTCGCTTCGCGCGGGCCAGTACGAGGCAGGCTACCTCATGACCGGGGCACCGATGGGCCACCATATCACCCAGTTTGGGCCCGGCGACTTCGATCCAACGATTCTTGACTACGTCTATAAGACTGCGCAGCCCGTTGCTGTAGGCGAACTGCTCACCCTAGGCCAGCCGATGGTGGGCCTCAATAAGTTTGCTGGCCCTGTTCTTATTATCACAGGCGAGCGAGACGCAGCCTTTTGCGGTTCAGACTGCCGTGCCACTGGTGACCCGTCATTGCCCAGCATTCCTGACGCGTGCAGGGCGAATATGCCGGACGCCAATCCTTTTGAAGCCATCATCGTTCCCAAGGCAGGACATGCTCTCAATCTCGGGTATTCCCACGATTTCACATACAAGGCTATTAATGAGTTTCTCACTACCAATGTGCCTAGCGCCGTGAGGATGGTTTGATAACATACATATACTAGACCAGATAGATAACAACCCATACCTGGCATAGAAAGAGGATTGAGCTTAGCCGTCGAGACTCAACCTCAGCCTAGACCTATATCCCTTCATTGGGTATCCTGTATATAATCATATAGATTAGTCACTAATTATAGCCCGGTTATTGCGGCTCAAAAGATCAAGTTCTGTTCTCATGATCCTATACAGCACATATTTAGGTGCATGTTGCGCACCATTGAGTAAACATTTCATTCGGCTCGACTATCTAATAAGACTTTTGCATAGCGGGCTTCTTCTCTGGAAATTCTTCCGTGAGATGTTTCGGGATCCCCGTCGATAGAGCCCCAGACATATCACTTATATACTCCCTGCGCCCAGCCTTATGTACTCGCCCATTCATTATAATGACATTCAATCGGTCGTGATCCTGTAATATCGAGATATCCTTCAGAGGATCCCCATCGATGAGAATGCAATCTGCGTAGTAGCCCGGTTGAATCTTGCCTAGCTCGTGGCCTCGCATCAAGAGGGCAGCAACACCAGCAGTGGAGGCGATGATGCTCTCATGAGGCGAGAAGCCAAGCAACTTCACAAAGTGTTCAAGATCGCGCGCATACGTCCCGTGGGGTGTCCACGCAAAACCGTAGTCCCTGGATGAAACGTTAGTGATGCTGAATACCTAATCGCCGACACCTGGCCTACTCACCCTCCTGGCAACACAACAATACCACGTCGGTGCATCTCCCTCAGCCCTGCAACAGCAATATCGAGTTCCCGTTTATATCCTGCCTTCTCTGCTGCATCGTAGGTGTACCCAAAAGCCTCAGCCTCATAAGTCGTGGCATAAAGCCAATTGATTGCTGGTACGACAATATACTTGTGTTTCTCTCGTTCAAGCATGTCCATGCCTGAGACTGTCAGTTGCAGCACATAAAATAGAAGTCCAACAGTTATACAAACCTTCGTCATCGATATAGGAGCCATGATAAATGACATCCACTCCATGCTTCACACACATCTTAACCGAATCTCGTGCTCTTGCGTGTGCACAGACTCTCTTACCGTACTTGTGAGCCTCATCCACACAAGCAATCATATCCTCGTCCGAAAAATAGCAGTCCTGTGCCGACCGAATCTCCGTTATTTCTTCTCCGGAAATACTTATCTTGATGTTGTCCACTCCGATATTTTGAATATTGTGTTTGATCACTTCGCGCATCTCTGGTTGACAAGTTAGCTGAACTCCCTGACAGAATTACCAGTGCTTACCGTCCGGGCCATCAGCAAACCGAGTGATTCCTGCGACTAGCTCACCATCTGGCTTCGCAATCTCTCGAGCATTGGCTAGATATCGCGGACCAGGAATGTCGCCAGCGTTGATGGCGTCTCGAGCCACTACATCAAGACGATCTTTGGCTGCAGCTGCCCCAAAGCACCTAGATATGTTAACAAATGGAAGAAATCGAGGCAACAGATTCAACACATACATAGTATATCCAGAATCCAGGAAGCACTGGGCACTCTTAATTGTCAAGAGAACGTGCTCCTCAACATCAAGTTCACCCAGCCGGTTGAGATCACCTCCGTTCCATGTGAAATGGGTATGTCCATCTCCAAGGCCAGACATAAGGGTTCTCCCTCGGCCGTGGAAAACGCGGACTGACGGATCTCTCTCGAGGTCTTCTTTGTTTCCTACTTCGCCGACAGCGACAATTTTTTCTCCTAATTTCCAATTAGCACCGCATGTCTCAGATCAAGAAATATACACACACCTTCGATTAAAACGTCTCCTACAAACGGTTCGCGCCCAGTAGAGTCAAGAATCCTCGCATCGGTAAACAATATCCTGGATCGTTGATGGGTACCTTCTATATGGTACTCTTTCGGTTGGAGCTTCTTGTCAAGCTTGAGATTTTCGATAAACTCGACATTCTTGGGATACTTTTGAGAGAAAATAGGCTCCCGAGGCCATGAATCATGCGTACCCTGTGCCCAGGACATGTTGTCACCTTTGTCTCTTGTTTCAACGAGTCGATTTGGAAGCTAGATGAATACCCCACGGGGAACCTTGATTAATTGTAGAGTGTTTGACTGGCTCAGCTGACGAACACGCCCCCGCTCTCTAGCATACCATTCAAGACATGTCCAACCCAATCTTAGCCCCTCCGTCGTTATCCGTGGATGTCCGAACGCCGCGCATCGCCGCGCATCACCGCGCGAGCGCCGTTAGACTCGTGGAATCGGTTGTCCGCCATCTCCGGGTTGAACCCCGCAATGCTGCCCCCATCTTACCATTGCTTGTCTACTGCTCTAGGCATCCTCAATTCTCCAATTTGTGTCTATCGAGATGGGCTGGATGAACCGTGGTTCTCGCCCGGGGCACCGTGGGAACAATCTCTTCGCAACAATCAACTACTGCAACAAAGACTCCGACATTTCCGCGGTTGTCACCTTTGTCGAGGACTCAGCCAATCCGAGATCATATCAAAAAGCACAAAAAACTACCAAGAATGAGGATCTACCATACATCGATCCATCAGTCATTATAGCTGCCGGCGATGCAGGTCTGCTATGGCTGGTCATTGATAACATTGTCTATGACTGTACCGAATTTGTTCATGAGCACCCAGGAGGCTCTCGGGTTCTCGAGTCATTTCGAAGCAGCAACTGCAGTTGGCAGTTCTGGAGGTTCCACGGAATGAAGGATATGGTAGAGTTCGGGCTGCCGCTGAGGGTAGGACGCGCAAGTGGTATTCAGAACAAGTTCAAGGAGCCACCTCGGTTTGTAGGTTTGAGGAAGCTATGGGGATCTGAATGATGAAGAGAAAGACAAAGATAAAAGTCGCTTAGCAAGTAGAAGTTAACTCAATCCATTGTCTGTTAATTTAGATGATGGAATTTTTAATTGCCACTATCCTCGTTAACTATTCCTCCGAATCTATGAAGCATCTTGCAATTACACACAGCCAGATCTCGCCTTTAGCTACTAATCAGCATATTGACAGCAAAAGGTTCACGTACTCGGAATACTGGGGATATGATAATAAAGGGGATTATAAGGCATAAATCAATGATCTATTTATCTAGTAGCAGGTCTCTAGGTTGTCCTCTTGTACACGATGTCTTCTTCAGGAGTTATCGTCAAGCCGCTTATGACGACTACAGAAAACCCTTCACCGCTGCTGCGACACCGGCAACATCCTCAAATACATGCCAATGACCAACATCCTTCAAGACGACAAGGCTAGATCCTTGGATCCTGGACGTATATCCTTCGCAGAGTGATGGAGGGGACACCTTATCCTCGTCACCAGTCACAATCAAGGTCTTAGCCATGATGGCCTCGACGTCAAGCTTCTGAGTAGCATTTGCAAGAGCCCAAACGGCCTTGGCATATGACTCTGGATCCTGACTTAGAAGACTAATCCTCACGGCGGCGAGTGCAAGAGGGTTCGCCTTTTTGGTTTTGCTTGAAGTCCCAGCATCGACGATGGTGTCGACAACAGCGTTCATGCCCTTGCTTCTGACCAGCGCAGCGCGGGTAAATGATCCTTTTGATGCAGCTTCGGGCAATGGCGAGGGGGGAGGTCCAACTAGGACAAGTTTCTCGACTAGCCCTGGGTTGTCAAGCGTGAACTTGATAGCCGCAAGGCATCCCATAGAATGGGCCACAAGCGTGGCTGGCGCCGATGTGGAAGCTCCAGCCGCCTCGAAAACTGATTTGATATCGGCGGCGAAGGATTCGATGCTCAGTTGGCTTAAAGGGTGAGTTGGGCTGGACCCGTGGCCCTCGAGATCAAATAGATGAAGGGTACTTGTCTCGGCCAGGGAAAGTGTCGAGATCAGCGGTGTCCAGTAATCCAAGGTGCCACCGAGGCCGTGCACAAACACGATCTGGTTCGGACCTGATCCCAACCGCTGATAATTCAGATTTTTACCGTTCACTTGGGTCAAGCCCACGCCGGCATTGAGTGACTTGGCGCCATTTGTGAGGCGGAAGGGTGAATCCGATTCAACTTGCTTGATAGTCGGGTTGACGGCATTGGCGGGTGCAATTTGATTGTTGAGTGTCCCCAATCCAGTGATAGAGACACTCATCCGGTCACCCGACTTGAGAAATACAGGTGGTTTTCTGCCAATGCCAACACCAGCAGGCTAAAAAGCATCGTCAGCTTTGGCAGAATGGTCTGTCGGACTTGTGATAACTTACAGTTCCAGTGGCTATCACGTCGCCTGGCTGCAAGGTTTGGCCCTCAGAGATCGTCTTGATCAAATTCGGTATCGAAAAGATGAGATCTTCCGAAGTAGCGCTCTGTCTGAGCTCGCCGTTAATGCGTGTCTCAACCTTCAAGGTAGCAGGAAGATTCTCCTTGGGAACAGCGATTGGCCCCTGGTATTTGTTAACTTGGATTCCTGAGTACAGGCTGAGATAACTAACCATAGGACAGAAAGTATCTGGAGACTTGCCAATGAAGAACTGCTTATGGTCGCGCTGACGCTCTCGTGCAGTCAAGTCGTTGATAATAGTATATCCCCATACATAATGCATTGCATCTGCTTCTTCGACACGGAAGCCAGACTTGCCAATAATGACCCCGATCTCTCCCTCATAGTCGACCGTCTGGGAGAATTCGGGGTGCAGAAGGACCTCACTCCCATCTGCAACGATGGAGGTGGCCCGCTTGGTGAAGATCACCGGGTGACTGGGCCGATCCGTTTTATCAGAGCTGTCATATCCGGAGCTGTTGAACTCCTTTGCATGTTCCATATAATTCTTGCCTACAGCCAGGATGTCACGACCTGAAATTGGAGGCAATAATGTAACATGCTTGGCTGGGAGAACCTCGCCATTGGGGATTATTTTGGATGCCCCCGCGGCGATAACCTCATACAGGTCTGTCACGGGAGTTCCAGAAACGAAGCTCAGCGGCTGGATAGTCTGCTGGGAAAGGTCATAGTGGCCGATCCGGGCAAGCCCTGTGCTAGGCTCGGCATAGGCGGCGTACTGCGTGAGAGAACTGTGAGAACCCATTTTGATTTGCTTGGTCGGTAGCTTGACCACTTCCGGAATTGGCTGGGTAAAGCACGGTTGAAATAAACAAGAGTCATTCGCTGGAAGTGTGAAGCGGAAATCCAACCACCGCGCGATTATCCACGGACATGGCGGCGGTCACGGAGAGCGGCGAAGGCGGAGATAGCGGGGCCTTCTCCTTTTCCGTGTAGCGTCGCCGATGGCGGCGATGTTCGAGAGACTGGTTGGCAAGAACGTCTTATCTGGCTAGGTAGTAGTCCAAGCCATGATCAGGGGGCAAGGATGGGTATGCTAATTAGTTGGAAGGGTTGGTAGAGGGAACTAAGAGTTATCTAGTCAGTACGTGGCCAGATAACTATTAATATTGATTGATCATCGATTATCTGCATCGGTTAGAACTGTCGAGCCATATCAAAAGTCTTATCATCAATCTTCGTATTAGCTACAGTGAACCCGCAATGTCGCAAGGCGATACCAAGATCCATCCGACCTTCACGGCAGGTGGCCATGTGGAAGACCGCAGCCAGCCGTCACTGCCTGTCGTCCATCGACGCTTCGCCAACCCTTCACCACTGGGTCTTCTCTCATTTGCTACAGGTATGTGGTCAGGCAGCTTTATAGAATAATGTCTGACAATTCCAGGCATCTTCCTCATTTCCAGCTTCAGTGTCCATGCTCGTGGAATCCAAACACCCAATGTCATGATAGCTATGTTGATCTTCTTTGGAGGAATATGCCAATACATTGTGGGGATCATGGAATTCATCTCTGGAAATACATTTGGCACTGCAGTCTTCATGTCTTACGGGGCTTTCAACATTTCGTATAGCATGATCTACCTTCCTGGCTCTGGCATCATCGCTGCCTACACCGATTCAGCCGGCAACCTGAGTCCAGACTTCCAGCAATCCATCGCTCTGTACCTGTGGGCATGGTTTATCCTAACTGTCATCTACACCGTCGCGGCTATTAGAAGCTCTTGGATTCTGTTCCTGGATCTTCTGGCACTCGATGTCTGCCTAATCCTACTGGCAACTGGAAACATGATTGGAAACCCTGCGGTTCTCAACGCCGGGTATGCCTTCGGATACTTGGTAGCTATTCTTAGTTGTAAGTCACGGGCGTCTTTCAATAATTGATAAGCTATCGGCTAACTTCAGATAGATCGGTCAGGATGTGCAGGATTGTTTGCCGGCGGCATCACCCCTTGGGAAGTCCCAACGTTCCCGATGTATAAGGAAGCCTAGACAGTGGGAGTAGCTATCGAGAGCTCGTGGTTGTCAAAGTGGCAATGTGGCTTTGGAGCAATACTCTAGATACTAGGTATTTACAAGAGAGTTTGTTCCAAGAAAAGGCTCCCAATCGTCCCAATCCATTGTCGAGGGTGAAAGCCATTGTTGTGGCCCTAAGCTCTCTAAAGAATCACCCATGACTCTTTGCGAGTTTCTATCAAAGCCCAAGTCCTGGCCATGTTGACTCTCCGTCACGGTAAACTTATCCACATTGACGGCGGGCGTGCCCATGATATCTCTATTCCACGTTAGATAATGGCCTAGAAACGTGGACAATGCTTCTAGACTTACAGCAGCTTCTTCAGTATCGGTATTGCCTTCCGACATATTTGACTCATCCCACTCTTTGCGACCTGCTCGAATATTGCCAAACAATCTTGAACATCGCAGTACAAGGAGCGCGCCGTTGCTGCATCCAAATCAAAGGCAAGGCAAATGTGTGCTAGACAAACAGCCGCATGGAAAGCATGAAAGCTTCCTAAGCCCCGGTTGTACCATCGGTACGGTTTGAAGGCTTGGTCTTCGTGAAGCGTGCGATGTATTCCAAGTAATGCCTTTGAGCTCTCGATGCAATGTCCCTGTGACGATAATACATTTTGTTCTGAAAACTGGCTTTGAGCCCGAGATTGTAGGATTGGTCGATGTAACAGCAGAACGAGTTGATGCGAGTATCCGAAAAGGATGTTCAGGTGCGCTGCGTGATACACCGGCTGATTCGAGTTAAACAGATATTTGCAATTGAGGATCTCTTGGAATGCCGAAATCTCTGAGTTGAGGTCTAGGATCTGATTGTAGGATGGTAGATGGGGCAATCCAAAAGTCTCACTGCAGATGCGATTGCACAACCGATAGAGATCGAACTTGAGTAGCAGGTATGACATTTGCGTCGGTCCGCCCCGAGATGCATGAATCTCAATCCCGGCGACGAGCTCATCGTCATTGACGTCTAGTGGAGGTTTCACGCTTGAAGGTGTTGGTGTCGAGTCTAGATTTCCAAGGGTCGTATTCTGTATTGTGTAGAGCATGTTCAGGCCAGCCCAGCACCTACGTCGCTCTTCCACTCGGATCCGATCCATCTGGAAGACTGTTGGGTCAACATGGCAACCGAGGGCTAGTGCTATGTTGCGAGCTGTTCCCAGTAGGGCCCAAGACTGTCCGTGTGTGTGGTTGATACCGTATATTAACAGAACCAGTGCCTGGAGAGTGTAGAGATTATGTCTCCAGAGGTAATGATCAGCATCAAGACATCTCATGGCTGCGGATCGATACCGACCATTAAGCAGAGACGTGTTCTCAAGCGCCGAGTTTCGATGACCAAGTTGATGGAGAAGAGGACTATCCTCTGGGAGCGCGGTGACAGCTATGCTCAGAATGACAAAAAGCAGAGCCAACCATGACATCGATACTTTCTCGGGATCAGATTGGAAAAGCCGGTAGTCTGTTTCGAACGTAGGATCGTGCAATATGTGGAGGAGCTACTATTATCAGTCGTAG